GTCCATTTCGTCATTGTTTCATTTGTCTTGCTCATCGCATATGTGGATGCCTAATTACGAAGCAAATTAATCATGGACCAAATCTTACTTTTCGATATGAGATTAACTAAAATAAGTGAGTTCTTTTCTTCTTTTTTTTCTTTGGAAGAATTCAGCTAACTAATTTGACATTTATACGAAATGGGAAGGCTGAGTGACGTAGTAAGAGTGGATTTTTATTATTACAATCGACGTTGAGATTCAAAAAATTTGTTGTCGACCTAATTTTTGTTTTTTGGAAAGAAATGGATAGTTTTTCTTACAATAGATTTACCAAAGATATAGTGATAATGTACATATAGCAGATTTATGTTATTTTTTTCATTTATGTAATTTCCCTTTCTGCTTAGTTAGTACTACTATTTATTTATTTTTTTTGGTAGCCGTGAAAGCTAATTAATTAACTACAAAATTCCATCCATTGTGTAGGCTTATATATGCATAAATTTTCTGATAACTTTTTTTTGGTACGATAAAGCTCAAAAAGATCAAATAAGCCAATTTAACCCATTTTTAAGGGGGTGCAGACAACAATATTCTTCCTCATCATGGTACATATGGATCATGTAAATTTAGATCAATGACTCTTTTCTTCGTGGAAGTGTTAAAGTTTTCACGTTTAGCTCACAAATAGAAGCGAACCATCATTGAAAACTTATTTATATTCTTTTCATGTGAATAATTAGCTGTATTATCGAGCGATTTCACTGCTTCTATCACCGTGCTTGCCGAGAGATGAATTATATATGGAACACGATATTTCTAACATATATAAGTATATACTCCCTTCGGTCCTTATTATAAGGCATTTTGATTTCGTCCTAAGTTTAACTTAGAATGTCTCTTTAATTGGAAAAGAAAACCTTTAAAATATATTTTCACATTCGTTGTGTTTTACTAATTATTATGAAATATTTTTAAGATTTTTATTCTAATTAAAAAGACATCCTAGGTGAAACTTATAACGAAATTAAAATGTCTTATAATAAGAACCGGCGGGAGATATATATATATATATATATATATATATATATATATATATATATATATATATATGATAGTAACAATGATCACATGTAACCGTGAGAAAATAAGGCAAGATTAGATTTGAGGGTATAGGAAATATTACACTGTTTGAGATGGGTGATGTATCATGCAGCATCTGTCCATGTTATAATCACAAGAAATAGTACTAGTAGTAGTGGAACTATAGTAGAACCAGCAATTGTACTCTCATCAACCGTCAATTTTCGTGGCCTTCCAAAGCCCCTCCCTAACTGTATAAATGCATGATGTATCACCTATCAATGTGTATTAGTGCACTTACTCAATTAATGCCTTTAACCGATACATTCATAATTCATGTCACGAGTTTTTTTTTTTGATTTTCGTGAAATTTTGATTATTTAATCCGGGTGTTCTAAGGAATTAGAGCCAACCAACTATGGGTGCTTCTGGCAAAAAAAAATTCAAAAATACTCCCTCCAGTCTAAAATTATTGTCCAGTTTAAAATTTTACTTTTAGTACAATTTGAGTAAGAAATAAAAACTCAAACTGGACAATAATTATGGGATGGAGGGAGTAGATGTGAACAAAAATATTTTTTCTATGTTATCTGGATAAACCAGATTTAGATATTCTGGTTAATTGTTTCATTCAAAGAAAATGTTACTTATATATTCCCTCCGTCCCATAATTATAGTCCACTTTACCCAAAAAAATTTGTCTCAAAATTATTGTCCAATTTGACTTTTTATGGATCAAGTTACACATTTGTCCTTAGTAAAAAACATTATCCATAAAATCTTAGTGGTTAAACAATTACTTATGTAAGGGTATATCCGGTTATTTAAGGTAAACTATAGTTAAGTTTGACAAAAAATAAAATCTTTCATTTTAGTAAAACTGGATAATAATTATGGGACGGAGGGAGTATTAATTAAAAAAGAAAGGTATGAGTCTTTAGTCTTCAAAAAAAGATGGAAAAAAGAATTCCTGCGGAATTTTTTGGTTTTAATAATTAAAAAAAAAATGCTCGTGCGCTGTAAAAGCTGGAGTTGGATGATAATGTAGGAGTCAGTGACTGACTGGGATGACTGCAACGTAAAAAGTGGGGGGTATTCCCGCAAATAAGTGGGGGTTTCAGGGGCAAATGTGGGTCGGTGATTCATAAGCGCCCGTCTGTGATGTGGTGGCCGGTGGGGTAATCAGGCAGCGCCAAAGGCGCAGGCCTCCCGATACCTCTCGACTTTTTCTCTCTGCCATTTTTTGCAGTCCCCTCCCCCATCTTTCACTCTCACTCTCTTCTCACAACGCGTGCATTCTCACTTCCCCCTTATACCTTGGGGATGGTTTTTTTTTTTTTAATCTTTTACGTGTGTGAAAAACTTTCTGACCCCCAATTTTTTCTTTGTTTCTTACGTGCACGGTTAAAAAACGGTAAAGAAAAAACTGATCTTATATTGATTTTAGTGATGTTCATTTTGAATGTGATAGACGACGAATAATATTAGTGTTCGACCTCAAACTTGTTTGAATTAGGCAAGATGTTATACGAATATAAAGTCGTTGAAATTAGTACTAGTTATTATCTATTTATCGGCGGATATTTGTTATACGAGTATAAAGTCATTGAAATTAGTACTAGTTATTATCTATTTATCGACGGATATTTTCTTATATCTTTTGAATAAATCATTTGTATAGGATAAAATGTTATAATGTTTTCTTATATCATATATTTCTTTATTTTCTGACACGGAGAAAGGAGATTATAATGGCCTAGAGCGAAAATTACAGCTTCGATTTGATCAGCAACTACCAAATACACAAATGGCACCGCAATTAACAAGTTATACTAAGGTCAAGTCAAAGTAAAAGAAATACTCCAAATTTAGAATGATCATGTTACACAATTCACATGCATATGTTCTAAACTTCTAATTTAATCTATATGATAGTACGAGACACCACCATGAAACTCTATGGAGTTAAGAAGACTAGTTTAAGAAATATATAAAGGTAAGTTAGCAATCACTAAAATATGTAAGAACACACTGAAAAAGGAATCAAAGGGGGGAAACCTAAAGTCCATTTAATAAAAATAAATAAAGTTTTCTCTAGAGGAGAAAAGAAAGGAAATGTGATCCTATGTTTTGGTAGACACGTGTATGAATGTGAGTAGTGGTTGGTAGATAACAAAAATATCCAAGACCGGTGAGTACGGGACACGCGCGAGGAAGGAGCGAATGGGGAAGTTGGGGTGGTGATGGTGAAATTGAAAGCAACAAGATAGAAGGCAGACAGAGTGATGAGACTGAAGATATATGTTAAAAGGAGAGAGTGGTGGTGGAACTACTGCTTATTATTATGCTTTTTTTAGCCCCAAAACTCAGGCCATTTTTTTAATACTGAGCCACTGAATCCTTCTTCTCTATAACTATACAAACCGATAAGCCTTATACTGCTCAGTCTCACTGATATAGTTGCAGCCAAATTTAAGGGGGTCCATTTACATTGACAACACTTTCTTCCCCTTCTTCTAACTGTATTCATATTTAATTCCTATAATTAATGAATCCTCTGTTGCCTCTGCCCTGAATATAGTGATTCCATATCATGATGATGATTCATGATAATTGATTAATTTTTCTCCCCACCCTTTTCATCTCTCATCTTCTTAACTCAATTCATGCAAAAAGGAAAATTTAGTTACAGTGAGTAAATATGTCAGTAGTGATGAAAAAAAGTAAGAAAGACTGCAACTTTGCAGTATGTAAGAAGAGGAATGGAGTGAAAATGAAGTGATTTTTTTTTTTTTTCTTTTTTCCCATGCATCTGGGCTGTAAAAGAAAAGATTGAATCTTTGAGAAGGGATTTTGTTGGAGCTGGGTTACAGGAAGTATGATGATTATGACTAAGTATGGAAATGTGCCAACCAACAATTTTGTGATTTGGGTAAGTGTAAATAAAGCTGTATTTGTTTGCATGCAATGAGAAATGAGAAATAGGGAAAGGGAAAGGGAAAAAAAAAAATTGGGAAATACCATTCTTGTCTTGATGTTACTTGGTAGTGGAAAGAGGGGCTCACTTCCACAGTTTTAATTTTATTTTTTTTTAATTACCTACTTAAGTTGGTTTGAAATTTGAGGAGGAAAGAAAAACAAACTATAATTAGAGTCTTGTAAACAAGAAGAAAAAAGATAAAGAAAGGTGGTTTTAATGGAAAGCAGAAAGGAAGGGAAGAAGGGGGGTGGTAAGGTGGGGTGAGGGGTGTGTGTTTGTGTGTGTGTGTGTATGTGTGTGGGTTCTGTACTGTCTAAAACCTGTCCCCCCCACTCAACACAGTCTCTCTTTCTCTTTCTTTCTGTAGAGTCGAAAAGGGCACTACCCACATTGGCCTTTTTTGCCTTTTGTTTCTGTGCTTCCTATGCAATTGTCTATGTCTGCTACTCCTGCTTGCTTCCCCTTCTCAGAACTGCAAATGGGGGACGAATCATACTTTGAATTTTCTTGTAATTATTTTGATGCCTTTTGTTTATGGTCTTTTTTTTTTCGGTTTTCTTAATCCACTTTGATATATAAATCTTCTTCTATTCTTATATAGCTTCAAAAACCATGAACTTTCTTCTTGTTTTTATTGAAAATTTTCTTTTTCCCTTGTTCTTCTTTGCTTTAAAGTCACAAGCTTTAAATATTTTGGAATTCCTGGCCATGATTTGACTTCATTTCCCATATTTTCTATTACCCTAAAGCTTTTAGCTTTGTGAATACTCTTTCAAGAACAACTTGATTGCTCCTCAAAATCCCATCTTTTTAATTGTTGTTTAGTGGCTTCCTACCTTTTCTGCTCACTTATTGTGTTTGTTTTTCTTCTGCTTGGGTTGTTTTTGGCTCTTGGGGAGTTTCCATTCACAGGTGTAATGCTGTACTGAGAACTTAGAAAACCTCTGGGATTTTCATGGAAATTGATCTGAACCATGCATTAGAGAGTGAGGTGGAGAAGAATGCATGCGGCTGTAATGGAGAATGTGGCAAAGTGGTGGGAGGTTGTGCTTATTGCTCCTTCTCCACCTCCACTTCCTCTTGCTCTTCCAACAGCTCTTCCTCTAATCCTCCTCCTCCATCAAAAATCTTCAAGGAGCTCTGGTATGCCTGTGCTGGGCCAGTCACCAATTTGCCCAAGAAAGGAAATGTGGTGGTCTATTTCCCTCAAGGTCACTTGGAACAAGCTGCCTCTGTCTCTTCCTTCCCTCTCCTGGATGTCCCTACTTTTGATCTCCAGCCCCAGATCTTTTGCAGGATTTTAGATGTTGAGCTACTTGTAAGTAATGGGCTGTCCTTCTTTGATTGAACCTCTTCAGTTGTTTTCTGAGAAAATCCCTTTTATATCTTGTCCAGTTCTTTGAAATTTATGCTTCTGTTGCTTTCAATTCCTTTTTGTTTCTCACTTTCAATTGATTACTCCGTTTTTAGGCTAATAAGGAAAATGATGAGGTCTATACACAGCTGACTCTGCTTCCCATCTCAGAGGTAAAATTGGGCACAGTACATGTTGTTAATTTCAGTTTCCAGTATACCTTGGTTGGTTTGCTAAACTTGAAGTTGTGAATTCTTAGTTTTTCTGGTGTTGAACCTTTCTTCACCTCCAAGATAATTTTTTTTGTTGTAATAGCCAAATTCATTTATGGATGATGTCACCCTCTATTTTCAGTTTCTAGCTTTGCGTCTAGAAGGAAAAGAACAAGAAGAGGCCGGCACTGATGAAGAGGGTACTGAAGCTGTGCCCTTGAAATCAACCTCTCATATGTTCTGCAAAACACTTACTGCATCAGATACCAGCACTCATGGTGGATTTTCGGTTCCTCGAAGAGCTGCTGAGGACTGTTTCCCACCTTTGGTATGTTTTAGTTTGTCTTCCGCATTGCTAGTATATGAAGGTTTTATGCTTTGCTTCAGTAATCCCTTTTGGAATTTTTGTATCAGGATTATAAAGAACAAAGGCCCTCTCAGGAGCTGGTTGCCAAGGACCTTCATGGAGTGGAATGGAAATTTCGTCACATCTACAGAGGTATTTGCTCTTTCTCGAATGAATAACATCTTATAGAGTCAAGAAGTCTTGTTTTTATTGCTTCACAATTTGATGCTTACATGACAGGCCAGCCAAGGCGACATTTGCTTACTACTGGATGGAGTATTTTTGTCAGCCAGAAGAATCTTGTTTCAGGGGATGCTGTCCTGTTTCTGAGGTATATATGTACATCTAAGACTAGATGTTATGTGTAATGATATGTGATCGATTTATTCTTTATAGAATGCCAAGAAAGATAATTGTATACATGTAACATTTTGAGGTTCATGAAGTAGCTAGAGCTCTTGACTATGTTCATTTGAACCAAGGGAGATATAGGCTAAAAATTTGAGCAAATTTAGACATGTTGGTGCCAGCGTGATGGTTTAATGCTTCTTATGTCCAGCAGTTCAGGAGCTGTCATCTACTTCTTTCCTTTACTCTTCTCTGTATATAGAAGTATTTTTTTTCCCGTTTGGATATCATAAATGTTTGATCCTCTGATTTCAGGGGAGATGGCGGGGATTTGAGGTTGGGAGTGAGAAGAGCTGCTGGGCTTCGAAATGGCCTATCTGACTCAATTATAAAAAGTCAGACTTCTTACCCCAATGTTCTTGCAGCAGTGGCAAATGCTGTTTCAAGCAATTCGCCTTTTAAGATTTTCTACAGCACAAGGTAAACTGATGATTGAATTTTTGTTTTTCTCTTTATATTAATAAAGGACTACGGTACTCTCTGCACTGAAGCTTATCTTTTCGTTTTTGTTTCAATTTGTTTTCTCTTATTCCCTTGGATTGCCTGATATTTGAGTTCAGAAATACTTCTGTGTCCCTCTGGCAGAGATTGATGAAATTGACTTAAATGTAAACCTGTTCCCTAGCACTTGGCTGGTAAAGGGTCCAACCAAAATAGAATCAGGTCATCCATTTCTAAACTGGAAACAGCCTCTTTGCCAAAAGCAAGGGTAAGGCTGCGTACAAAGGTCCCACCCCCCAAATCCCTGTGAAGCCGGGAGCCTTTCCCACTGGGGGTTGTTTATGATATAATCAGGCTGTTCATGCACTACTGAACTTGCATTATCTTTTTAAATAAACTTGCAGTGTATGTCTTTCCTAGTTTGCTGTGATTTTAACCATGCTAATATATGTTGGTATAGTTTTTGGCATCTTCCCGGCTGCTAGCTATTAAGAGTTAAGTTTGCAGTTAGGTTCATTCATCTGCAGTTAGTTTTTGTTGCTGTATTCTTTCCTCACCTGTATCTTTGGAATGTTCTTTCTAATCCACCTCGAAGACTAGTTGAACATGGTACCTCTGAAGGGAGTAATAACTACCCATAGTTGAAGGATCAAGCAGTCTCCAGTTAACCCCTTTGATGGTCATCATTTAGCATGCCTGCATGTTCTGATTTCTAAATTTTCCTCATTTCATAAGTAGACAAGTACACATTTGATTTGATTAACTTTTAAATTCCTTAAAACAACTTTGCAGGGCGAATCATGCTGATTTCATTGTGCCGTACCAAAAATATGCGAAAAGCATTACTAATCCTATTCCTCCCGGCACAAGATTTAAAATCAGTGTTGATCTGGACGATGCTCCTGAGAGAAGGTTTGTTTTAAATATCTCACTTAATCATATTGAGTTCTGTTATTTAATTTTAAAAACCGATTTGTTTGGTTCCAGGTACAGTGGTGTTGTAACTGGATATGGTGACATGGAACCCCGCAGATGGCTCAACTCAAAGTGGAGATGCTTGACGGTAATGACATTTTTCGTTTGGCACACATGAGAAATAGGTTCCTCGCATGGACACATTCTTGATTGCTGTTTGCTAACCTCAAGGTGGCTTGGATATGATTATATTCACTGTGATCCTTTTACCTGCCATCTCTGTCATGGTCTACATGCCTTCGTTAGTTCATGTTATTGGACATCATTTCTATAAAATGTGCATATAATTCTATAATTCCCCCAATTTTTGGTTAGGGTTTCCGCAATTGCTTGCAGTTATCAACTATGTTAGTTAGCTGCAGAGGAATTGATATATGATGCTGAAAAGCCCAGTTGTAATTATCAATGGATTAAATCTTCATCCTAGCTTTTCTGGTCATTTTTGTGCCTCACTTTTTCTTGAAAAGGCTTCATATTCTGCTATTATAATGATTATAATTCCGTAGGTAGCTAGACTTTCTGTGCTAACATCTCGGATACTAAAACTTCCATGCTGTTGAGATCGTGACAAAAAATGAATTTGATCAGTAGACAATTCCTGAATGTCCTGTTACATGTTTCTAATTGCCTGTGCAACATATCTTATAGGTCAGATGGGATGAAGATGTCACTAATCATCACGAACGAGTTTCTCCATGGGAAATTGATTTTTCAGCTGCTTTTCCTACCCTGAGCATCCAGACACCCCCTAGGATGAAAAAGCAACGTATCTGCATGCAAGGAGACATGCAGAAAAGCACGAAAAGTAGTGCTGACCTGTTGCTGCCTTTATCATACAATGATAATGTTCCTGGTGCTGGTAGGAAAGTCATGTTCCCTTCCACATGGAATAGCTATATTCCTGGTACAGGTCCTGTACTCATTTGGGTTCTGCATTTCATCCGGATAATGAAACATGTATGGTGACTATTTCATTTATATTAAAACTTGCAGGTCAGGTTTCCCTTTGGGACTTTGCGGAGTCTGTAGGATCCGGTAAGGTCTTGCAAGGTCAAGAAAATTTAGGTTTACCTACGCCTCTTTATGGATGCGATAAGGTAAACCGCCAGTTGGAATTTGAGATGCATCCTGTTGCACCTCAAAGTCGGCTTGTGTCCAATAGAATGGAAAAGGCTCACTATGGTAATTTTAGCCCTAGTCAGCCTTCCAGCACCACCTATTCAGGCTCTCTGGAATCATCAAATTGTTTTCCAAAGGTCTTGCAAGGTCAAGAAATTTGCTCATTGAAATCTTTGACTGGAAAAAATGAACTAAATCCTGGAATTTGGAGAAAGCCCGAGCTTGGTGGCAACATTTTCAATCAAAGAACTTTGGGTAGCTATCCTCTAGCAACTGAAGGTGTTCGAAATGTGGTTTTTCCTTATGGCGGAGTCTTCAAAGGTGGTCAAGATCCTGTAATGGTTTCTTATGTGGGTAAACTTCAAAGAGATACTCATGTGGCAACCAAGGAATCTTCCTTCCGAGACAGTGTTAACAGGGATGAAGGCCTTCCTAATCTTTCTAATGAGCAAAAAGCTCTGGAGAAGACTTCTGCCCTCCCCAACTCAGGAACACCTCTGAATATTCAAAGAGATGAAAACAAGGATCCAGGTCCGGTTTGTAAACTATTTGGTTTTTCCCTTGTAGAAGAAGTCCCTACCTCAAGTTCACAGAATAGCAGGAGAAGTTGCACAAAGGTGAGTTTCTTTTTCTGTGATCCACAGTTTTTTAAAATAAGGTGCTAGGTTTACTTCCTCTTTATTCTGTGATCCACAGTTATTTTGTGCTTTTATATGCACTGATGCTAAATTCTATTTTCTGGATTTAAGGTGCATAAGCAGGGGAATAAGGTGGGAAGGGCCATTGATCTCTCCAAACTTAATAGTTACAGCGACCTGCTAATTGAACTGGAGAGGCTCTTCAGCATGGAGGGACTGCTACAGGACCCAAGCAAAGGATGGAGAATCTTGTATACTGATAGTGAAAATGATATGATGGTTGTTGGGGATGACCCATGGCAGTAAGTTACCCTCTGACTGGACATTCTTTTGGTTTTGCACAATCATGCTTAATGGGAAATTGGGTTGTGTTCATGATTGGTTGTTAAGTTCATTACTGAGGCTGTGTCATGATTCAAGTCATCTTTCTTAAGTGGCATGGATCTGGTTGAAGTCTTTATTCAACAAATGCATCAGTAAAGATTTTGTGCAAATGATGCTAAATTTTTTACTAATGAATTTTTGTACACTGTTGAGAGTAAAAAATCATGTTTGAAACAAAGTGTAGATGTTATTAGGCCTTAGCTTGATTGAAATTTGTTGTTAAAAAATAAAATTAAATTAATACTTTTCAAGTCAAAATACGGGAAGCTAATTGCTTGCTAACTCAATTTGCAGTGAATTCTGCGAAGTGGTTTCAAAGATCCACATATATACCCAAGAAGAAGTGGAGAAGATGAACATTGGAGTGATCAGCGAAGACACTCGAAGTTGTTTGGAAGAATCGCCGCCAAGGATGGATGGCTCGAAGTCATCTTCAGTTAGCGCTCCCGATTCATCTCCAACAGTAGTCAGGATTTGAAATTCATATTGCTGATGTTTCTTGGATGTTGTCTACCTTGTGATTCACCTATGTTTCTGTTCCTGAAGTCTTCGTGAAGTCAAATGGTTATATTTTACCTGTTGATCCCGTACTTTGGTTGTCTTTTCGTTTCTGATTGTCGTCCTAAATGTATAACTGCCATATTTGGTGAACAGGAGGCGGCAGTTATTTGAGGTTGTTTCTGAAACTGAGAAATGTATGCTATGGCCTACTGTGGTCAAGTGGTGTGAATCGTGGCAGTCATTGGTAGTAACTGCTAACATTATATCCAACAGCCAAGAAACAATAATCATAGAATTACGGCAAAAACGAAGCATAAAAGGCTTCAGTTGCCGCCTTGTGTTAACTTTTCTTCTTACTTTTTTTTTCCCCCCATGAAATAACAATTTTTGCAATTCATAAGCCTCCCAGTCAACAATGAAATGCATTTTTCAGTGTGCATCTTTCCACAAGAACACTTGCAATGAATACTGTTAACATGTGGGAAAGGATTCAAGCCTAAGAATGAAAAGTACAGCTTATTTTCATTTTGGAAACAACTGAAGAGCGCTTCCGATCATAGTAGTCCTGCGAGGTAGGTTGAGAAGATCAAAAGCAGGTATGCAGATGCTTCATTTCCGAAAACCCAGGCATAGAGACATGCTTGAGAAGATTAAAAGCAAGAACGCAGATGCTTCATTTCTGAAAACCCAGGCATATAGACATGCTAACCATCGCTACTCTCTGAGGAGCTCTCGGCCAATGATCAATCTTCTAATCTCACTGGTGCCGGCCCCAATCTCGTATAATTTGGCATCTCGAAGAAGGCGCCCTGTTGCATATTCATTTATGTACCCATTACCACCTAAACACTGAATAGCCTGCAACATGAATGCAATAGTTCCCTGTAAATTTCATATTCTGCAACAATATTCCATCTTATATGTTTCCAATTCATGGGTTTGTCCTTTACAGTGCGAAATGTGATCCTTCAGCATAAGCATCCCCATGACTATGAACGAAATAATTGGACATCTTAAGAAATGACTCCAATATGCCATGAATAAAATTAGAGACTCAATGAAATGAGGATGAGGTTCTGTTGCGAGAATTATGTAACTACAATACATGCATAAAATTAGTGACCAGCAAACCATGAAATTTAAATAGCACAATATTTTTACCTGAAGAGCAACTTGAGTAGCTCTTTCCGCTGAACAAAGAATGACTCCAGCACAATCCTGACAATTTTTTCGGTAGAAGCAATTCAAATTAATTGCAGAATTCAAGAAGGTAGGTAGCTTTTCATTGAGTTTTAAGCAACTGAAGAAAAAGATTGAAGCAACTGAAGAAAAGAAAAAGAAAAAGAAAAGTTAAAGAAACTCTCCGAACCTTTGGGTCAACCTTCCCATTGTCACAATCCATTGCAACAGAATACACATATGATCTATCATGAGTTGGGAAAAGTTATGCTGCTGAATCGATTAGAAACGCGTTAAGTCGACAGTTTGAGCCAATGTATCTAACCTTGATGACTGCAATGATGTGTACATATCGGCAATTTTTCCCTGGATTAATTGAAATTCTCCAATTGGTCGGCCAAACTGCTCCCTCTGACGAATATATGGAAGTACAATGTCAAGACAAGCTTGCATAAGACCAAGAGGGCCTCCTGCCAAAACTAGTCTCTCCAAATCTAACCCCGACATCATCACATATACTCCTGAAACAGAAATAATTCATCACTCATCGGTTCCATATACATAATAGAAAACAGAGAAAAAGACGACATATAGAAAGTAAAGAAAATATGAACAAACTAAGAAGTTAAAGCAAAGTGCTTATTAGGCCTAGAAAGAAACTACTAGAAAAGTTGTATTAAGTTAAACGCAAAATAGGGTATGTGTTCAAACAGAACACAGTCGCTCGATATGATCCAAAATTCACATACCTATGTAATGCTATAAGGCATGGTTCTAATTCTTGTTTTTCTTCTTAATTTTGTTCTATTTCTATAGTTGGGTTTCAGTTTTGCCATTAGCTAACCTAAATACGAGCAGACGACTACTTTTTCAATGACGTGGTTTTTGTGTTATCTTGATCCACGGTAGATAAAAAAGTTTCTTGAATGAAACTTAGTAGACCATTTTTCAAAAGCCAATAGTCTGACATGAGATTGTACCTTTTCCTTCCTGCCCAAGAACATTTTCTTCTGGAACAAAGCAATTTTCAAAAACAAGTTCACACCTGAAATTTCAGAGACAAACCACCCATCAAGCCCATATCTTCAGTGAAACATAAAACTCCTGAGAAGGTTATACTCCCTCCATCCCGAATTGATTGTCCAGTTTGGATTTTTATTTTGGTACAAATTGCAGTGAAGGTGAAAATCTAAACAGGAAATCATTTTGGGACAGAGGGAGTATGTAATTAAAGATCCTAACATACGTATCACTGCCCCGCATCCCAAGTTTATCCAATTTCTGGGCGGTGCTGAACCTGCACAAATATCAAAACCAAGAGAGTTATTGAGAACTTAAAAGTGCAGAGCTTAGCACTAGATTCTTTGAGCATCAGTATATCATGAAAGACAAGCAGTTCAAAAGCTCATTTCCAACCTAACCCCTTCATAACCCCAACTGGCTGATAAGGTACACTTCAAACCATCATGCTTCTCGCATTGTCAAATGCCTACATATCATTCCACCAAGTATTCAGAAAGGAATTTCCCGGTTTCCAGTATTTCAACTCTAAACTAGGACAAACTATTCCTATACACTATGTCTCATTTTCAAAGCACTGACAAGTTGGATGATACCAGAATTCCATTCTTCCACTGTTGCTTCACTAAGTAATCATAGTAAAACCTCATATTTGCGGTGAACGGAAATATACTTTATTTTCTCCACAAGATGACTAGAGAGACTTCTCTCTCCTTTTTTCTTTTTTTTTTTTTTTTTTGGAAAAATACACTAGGGAGACTTCTAAAACATCTATGCAGGAAAGAAACATACTGTAGAGTCTGTTTCATTTCCTTTAATATCTTTAAAACAACATTCCATGCATCAGCTCAGGCATATTGCTCGATACAAGCAAGTACCATAACGAGTGCCTTAATCATTCGTAGATCAACAAGAGGTGCATACCCAGGCATTCCTTTCTCAATTATAAATGCTGTGATTCCTTTTGAGCGAGCAACAGTGTCTGTTTTTGCATATACAACCTACAGCAGTTGATTTATTGTTATTATTTTACAAATGGAAACATATTATCCAATTGATAACAAGAAGCAGAGAACATTCACAAGGAGAAAAATAAAAAAAGATACCAGAGTCTGAGCAACTGGACCATTGGTACACCACATTTTATTTCCATTTAAAACATAACCTCCTTCAACCCGATCAGCTCTACACTTCATACTAACAACATCTGATCCAGCTAAACATGGCAAAAGGGAATGAAATTAGAGCTGTAAAACCTAAATGCATAGTAGTTGACAGGAACATAAGAAACGGTTTTCCATATGTTACCATTTGGCTCACTCATTGCAAGAGCTCCTACATGCTCTCCCGTGATTAGCTTCAAGATATCAAGAAAAAAAAAAAATTTATGAATGTTGTTTCGATAATACATGCATTGGGAACAGAAAGAAACTCCTTCAAAACAGCATGCAGCTGGAAATTACTATTCAGGACAAAAAAGGAAACAGTGAATTATCCAAATCATCTTCAGAACAAATTGCTCGTTAACTACACAGACTCTAGCCATGAGTAACACAGTAACAACAAGCTGAAACAATTTTAAATTGTCATAAAAAATGCACTTTTAAGATCTGTCTTACGGTGTGAACTGCTGCAAAAAATGAGGTTGGGGGGATCAATAAATACTAGTAAATTTTCATATTATATGGCTAACAGAAGAAATCAGTGCACCAAAAGATATAAACTACTTTACCTACTGACAGCATGAAAACAGAAAAAGTTAGCCAGTACCAATGATCTAAGGCCTTCAATCAGAATCTTTGACTAAAGTATAAAGCAAAAATCTAGAAGGACTTCTACCTTTGTGTTATTTAAACCCATTACATTTTCAGTATACAATATCTAAGTCAACATGATGAAATAGTAGGCAATACTTGTCTATTAAATCAGGGTAGCTATCCGGAAATAAGATATTGGCTATGAGATTTTCAAACAACACAACAGTTGACATGAAGAATTCGCACCAGATACCTGGTATCAGAATAAATTAAAGACACGATGTTAAGATAAGAACTTGATACGGAGGCAGATAAGAAATCTTGAGAAGTGAGAGAATGGATGGAAATAATACCTTAGGCAAATATTTTTCCTTCTGAACAATGGTTCCATTCCTGACCTACAATAAGTGAATAATTTTGGTGAATTGCAGATAAAATCATCCACAAATTGGTTAGAACTGGAATTTGAGTAAAATGCTTTTACCAACTGATTAATACAAAGGTTTGAGTGGGCACCATAGGAAAGGGCAACAGAGCCAGATGCACGACTAATTTCTTCCATAGCTATACAATGTTCCACATAACCAAGGCCAAGTCCTCCATATTCCTCTACAGACAAACAGCACCACTAAGTCCTAACTTATAGATTATTTCAAAGTAGTTGGCAGCAAACAAAACAGCAAGTTCGATCTAAAAGCACAAGTGCATGTATCACTCTCAGCAAAACACATATTATCATGATGCTGGCATTAGTGTAACATCAGAAAAATGTACTTATTGGAAGTGTACCTGGAACAGTGATTCCATGAAGACCAAAATCTCCCATTAGTTTCCATAAGTTAACCTCCTGAGATAAGCAGCGTGTCAAAGCTGAGCACTTTGCCATAGAACCACAAAATTTACAGGATAATCAACTCATACAACCTTTGGGAAATAATTGGTTTTGTCGATTGTTGATGCATGAGGAGCAATATGTTCCTGGGCAAAACGCGCCACTCCTTCTTTAAACTGCGTTAAAATGTTACAAGCAAGAACTACAAGTGAGAGATAACCCAAAACACAGAAGTTAAAATGAATAAGGTGAAATTTTTCATCCAACATACGGAAACAACTATAGCATAGCAGAAAACAAAATAAATCAACTTGATCACAAAATTGTCCAGTCAATGCATCAAAGCAGAATATGGTTGAAGCAAGAGCAAAGCAGTTGTGGAATCAGTAATATTATCTTAAGAGATGACCTTGTCAACTTCAACAGTATAGTAGTATAAAACGACCACAACAAAAACGAGAACAAGAGCAAGAAATAACTAGAAAATGTAAGCTTTGGTACCTTCAACTTATAAAAATCCAAATTTTATTTGCATCCCACTTGAATTTCATGAATTTGGACAACACGAAACACAAGTTCCTAATCAAACAGAGCTTCTGGGTTTTGAGTCATTGACTCCCCAGGAATGGCAGACAATAAAAACTTCGAAGCACCGTGGCAAAATGTAGGAGAACCCTTAAGCTCAAAAGTTAGACAAAGGCAATAATCAAAGATACCTGTTTGCGAGTATCATCAAAAAGTGGGGAATTGGAGAAAGCAGCAAAACCACTCCCTTTCTGCCTTCTGAGAAAAGCAGATGCTATAGACCTTACTCCGATTGCTCTGTGCATCTCCACAGTTGTTTTCCCAGTACACCAAGAAGTTCAAATACCGTGAATTCGTGATAAATCAAAATAATCAAATCCCACAAATTCAATGTTTTCCTTTAACAAAGTAAATATATTACAAAGGGATTTGCTTGCTTGCTGACGTGCTGGTTTGATCAAGAAGAATATGGCAATATGTCAAAGAATCTAAGACCAAGAAGATTAAAAATTAAATAATCAGAAACATGGGGACATCTCTATACTGTTCTATATTTGAGATTGTGCAGTTTTCGATTAGTACGAAAGTTTTAGAACTACATAAATGGGACAATGACAATGACAATGACCAAAGAACCAGTCTTTATAGTATTCTGATAATTGTTTAAGCTAGTGGGAAACGTACAAAAGGTGTAGCGTATGGATAAGCGATTAAAATTTGCCATATTGGCAACCTCATCTCACGGTCTCTATTCTCTAGCATACACCAAACTTTTAACCAACTTAAGCTCGGTTTCCGTTACAGCATTGATTGCATTAACTTGTGTACTTTTGTTGTGTTCCACCGGACTTGGTGAAAATTCATAAAGGAGATGAGACCGACTATGATGGATGAAATGATAAAATTATTGTACCATAGACACATAAATAAATTAATCTTTAACCATCTCAAATAAATTCAATTGACGAAAAATTGAATAAATCAAAAAATTTTAAAACAAAAAAGCTGTTGCCAACTTCTTTTCTTTGTTCAATATACTTCAAAATTTTCACTTTGACCGCTATCAAACAAAAAATTGAGCACTTTTCTAATCAACTTTTTCTTTTATTTGAAGTTACAAACAAATGCACGAAGGGAGTCCACACGATCACGTTTATTACCAGTTTAGCTCAACATTACCATCAAAACTTATCATTTTTATTATTTATTTTTTGGAAATCCGCGCTCAAAATGCATTGATGAATGATGATGAAATTAAGGAGATGCAGCAACAGAGGCAGCTGCGTAGCTAAGACATGTACCTCAAAAACATGCAATCTAGGAACATATTCTATATTATTAACACCAATTAAAAGGAATAGGGAGAGAGCAAAGCCAGTAACGAAGCCTGTGCCTCTGCCTCTGAAGCGGATTGACCCAAAAAAACCCATTGCTTCCATGATCAGCAAGGCCACAGTTGGATGCATACAACCACCAGAAAATATCCGCAACCACTATTACGATAACATTACTTTCTAAGACCAGACATACACCATTGATGCCGATACACGGAACTAAAGAATCTGCAATTTAATATGTGAAGGCACCAACCCAATTAGCTGCTGCTTAGCACACCTTCTGGCCTCATTTGTTACTGCAGCTTCCACAGTGACTGTATCAAGATTGCATGACCAATTGTCTCCACAAATTTTCAATCTCTTTAAAACGTGGATCAACAATTATCTTCTCGAGAGAACCTGCATTTTCAAGAAAGTACTTGACTAGGTCCAATTCAATTGAACGGCCTCGATATTCAATTATCTCAACCACTCTATGATGTTGAATAAGGTATTATACAACATTCTCTGGCTCTCTGTTGGTCACTATTTCAAATAAGTACATTGGCTGCAGAAACAAATGTGATCATTTAGCAACCCTACGCATGATAAACCAGCTAACTTAAATAGTAGTACCACAAAGTTACAGGAACAAGATGTTTAAAGGATTGAAAATAGAATATCAATAAACTACCTTAAATACAAACTTCTCCAAGTTTGGTGACACCCTAAAGAACGATGTGAGTCCAAACATTCTCTCAACTTGGACTAATACAAGTTGTAGGGACAGCTGCTTCAGTGCAGGTTGCTGAGGTAATTTTCTATCAAACTGGATATAAATAATATCATAAATTAATACTCACTGTCCCACAAACATAGTTCACATTGTAATTCATGAATTAGTCAGAATTTACAATGTGAGTTAGGCACAAATTACAATATGAACTACTATTTGTGGCACGGAAGCTATAATGGGTGATATATAAAAAGTAAAACTAAGAAGATTTAGCAACATATGGATTAACTATTATTGTTTTTCCTATAAATTTATAGCTCTGAAAATTTCATATTCAAATTTCCTTATTATAAAGCACAGGTTCCTCAAACTGCAAAAAGTGAAACATCGGGAGTACAATGACAAATTTAATGACAAATATTAACTTATTAATATGTTCGGGTTCAACCATTTAAATTCAAAGAGGTTTCACTGAAACAAAATTATTCCAATAACACAATGAGCAAGATGCTTACCCCTCTAGCTTGATTAGGATCTAGAATCAAGGAAAGCAACTCCAGCTTTGAAAAGTGGCATGAAAGCTTGCAAACAAAATCCTCGACAATGTGGTTACAAGAGAGGATGCCAATATGCACGAGCTTCGGAGCATTCTTAAGCACTAGTGCCCTAGTTTTCCCAATCTTAAGCGAGATAAGATTAACATCACTTATAATGATGGTATCCAAGGGACAAAAACGAATTTCCAAGTGTTGTAATGCAATAGATGGACCACAAACTTTCAAAGATGTTAAATCCTCTGAGCAATGCACAGCCAAACTTTCAAGATTATTGCAATTGTACAAAAGGCATTCAACAGCGCTCCCAGAAACTAAGACATGTCTCAAAATCAATTCTTTGAGAGAATTCCAACTTCGCTGTGCAAAAATGGTAGAAGGAAAAACATAACTCTCAGTGATGGGGATCCTATAAAAATTTGGCCCATGTCGTGACTCATTATAAATTGGGCCATGGTGTGACAGGTTGACTTCTAGCTTTTGAACTCTCTTGTCAAAGGCATACTTAAGCCACTTATTCAATTCCGAATGAAAGGAATCATGCAAATCACAATAAATTCTGAACTTATTCAAAACCGGGGTCTGGTGGGATTGTAGCACCTTATTTACCCAGTTAACAAACTTGGGTCTTTCCCTTATTATTCGGTCCAAGTACTCCTCCCCAGTTACCATCTCGCATAATGTAGTAAATGCGTTAAAATCAAGATCAGGAACATATGTCCACACATGCTTCCATCTTTTCGACAAAATACTTGTTCTGCCAGCTTCTTTGAGCGTTAGAAAAGATAGAATAAGACTAAGGATTTCATCGGGGAGCTCACTAATCCGATCTTCAAGTACATGCTTCTGTTTAAAGAAAAAAAAAATCAAAAAATTGAAAAGTGAACTAATTGCACATGATATCGAGATAAAAGAAACAAAAATCAGTAAAATCGCAATTGCAGCTACATCAAATCCCAATTTCTACTGAATCTGAAATAACATCAATAGCGTGACACTAAAAATATTCTTCAAAGATCGAAATACACATCAATTGCCTGGCCAGGTGACGTGCTGTTTAAAGAATGATAACTATGAAGTAAATCAAAAAAATGAAAGTGAACAAATTGCAATGAGATTGAGATATATGAAACAAAAAATCAGTAAAATAACAATTGCAGCTACATCAGATCACAGTTGCTCCTGAAATCTGAAATAACATGAACAACGTGACACTAAAAGTATTCTTCAAAGATAGAAATACCCCATCAATTTTTTAGCAAGGTGACATATAATACAGATCCCTATTTTAATATCGCAATCACGAACCCTATCATCGCGGCATAGCAAACTTTCTCTGCCCCCAAAAAAGCACCTAATGCTCTAGTCGAGAAGAATACTTGAACCAATGACACAACAACAATTTGACATAAATAATTTTGGTTAGAGCAACTTAATAAGTGAAAAGGAATGACCGACACAACTTGAACACAGTTGATGAAGTGAAGTAGAAAAATGGTTGGACCAAATGGTGAAAATAGGATTACAAGTCCGTCGGTCCATTTACAATTAAAATTCAGAATTCAAGAATGATAAATGAAAACTTCAGATGGGCATATCTTTCAAATTTATTTCCTGCGTAACCAATTGAAGATATTACTGGTGTCTTTTGAAAATTAAATTAGTGGAATGTTGTACAAAAGTCTTAAACTTTGGTCAAAACTGAAGACGATCAGAATCTAAAGTGAGGAAGAAAAGATGTGACACGGAAAAGACACATTTTTGGTAAAATGCTCATAGCTTGTGGTAGAAATTCTAATGATTTGATTCAAGATGTTAAAGAAATCTAAAAGAAAGTAGAAACTTTTATATAGAACACTTTTCCAAATTCGCAACCGAAAACCTTCAAAAATGGTGAAAAAATTGGCTAATATATGGGGGGCTATGAATTTAATTCAACCAATCAGTTGAACGAGCACATGAAATGGTGCAGGAAGGTTGCAACTCATTTTGGGTTTCAGGAATAACAAGAATCTTAGAATTGAGTACGTTTTTGTTTTAAGCATTTATGATAGTTTTCAGTCTTTAGATTTAGGAAATTCTCTTTGGGAATAATCAGAACTCTATAAGTTTTGCAGCCTTGTTGTTGACGGTTGATTAATGTAATTTCAGCTTCTCATAGCTTTCAAAGACGGTGGCCTTCTAACACACATCTAGGGTTTGCTCTGCTCATTCCTATAGTTCGATTCAGTCCCATGTTTCCCACCACAAACCAACAAGGAGGATTCAAAATGCGAGCAAATCTGTCCAAAATTGACCCATTCAGCTGTCATCCAAACAGTGAATTCTATGACCATCAGATAACCTTGCAGAGTAACTCAAGCAAAAAGGCCAAAGTTCACAATAGCGATAGCTAAAATAAGCTAAAAAGACCAGTTGTACCGCAATGTACATATGTGATAATATAGTGTTCTGCAACTGAATTAAAACGGTCACTTCTCTAAAACTACCCGGCACTGTTCAATCACAACTATATCATATCTCCGGCTAGTAGGACTATGGATCACATATCTATAGATGGCCACAAACAGAATCCCGAAATCTCAATACACTAAAAATTTAAATGATACCGATAATAAGCAACAAAAGCTTTTAAATTGACAAAATTAAAAATCATTCGAGAACAACAAACCCACAGAAAAAAGGGTCTAACCTCAAGGGGAGGACTGGTCTTAACCGTGCCATCAAGATTCAGGTCAAGAATGCGGCAGCAGAGTGATCTTGCTCTGGCCCAAAAAAGCTAGTGTTGAATGCTCTTGATGAGTAATGTGGATGTCTACATGTGTTGATGTTAAGTGTTTTGTAAGCTTTTTTGGATGTGTCCTGCACGTGTGATAATTATGGTCCAAGTCGAAGGAGATCATGACATAAAGCGAGGAAGAATAAGATGTGCCATGGAAACTGACACATTTTGGTAAAAGAAAGCTAGAAACTTTAATGCACAATACTTCTCCACATTCGCAATCAAATTGAACAATATGCAGGTGAATCAAATTCGATCCAGCGAAACGACTTAATCTATTGAACTAGCAAACAAACCAACAAGGACTCAAAAAGTGACCAAATCAGTCCAAATTAACCGGTTCAGTAGTCTACCCAACCTTCCATCTACAAGAGTTCAGAACGTAAACTACTGGGAGTCTGGGAAGACATTCTAGAATCAGTGCCTTTCAGGAGTGCTGCAACGGATAAAAGATGTCCGCAAGGCCGAAAGGATCCAGCTAATGATGAGAGAATCCTATAATTTTGCAATCCGAGTCCATCATGTTGACTAATAAAATGCAGAGTAACTCAAGGAAAATGCTAAAGCAAAGCATTTTCAGTGTGAATGATGTTGGACAGGAAAGTTACCGGAAGGGCAGTAGTGGGAGCTATAAAATAAGTTAGGAAGACTGGTTGCAGAGCACAGTACAATAGAATAAAAACACTCACTTATCCAAAATCCCAGGGTTCATCCTCGCAACTGAATCATATCATCAATGAGGAACACAGAAACACAGTGAAGAAATAAAAAGAAAAAGTAAAAAGTTATGAACTTTTCACTTTTCATTATCCATGCAACATGTGCCTAGAAGTGAAAATCCAAATCCAAAGGACAGAGGGAGTAATAACTAACTTCCAAATTCCTAAATTTTACAAAGCAAAACTATACGAGAACGACGAAAGCTCACAAATTCTAACCTTATAAGGAATGGTCTGAACAAGATGATTCGGGTCAAGTATCCGGATCGGGGCCCGCAACACCAACCAACTCAGAACAGCGCTGGATGCAAACAGAACGAGTTCTTGTAAGAACTTAGAGACTGATTTCTCGCCAGAACTTCTTCGATTCCGTTGAATTGCCTTCATCCTTTGATCCATTCTACTACAAAACACGGCCACCGATATTCGGGTCAAGCATACGGAGCCCCGTGCGCAACGCCATTCAAGTCAACTAAGAGCAGAGCTGGATGCAAAACAGAATGAGATGAGTTTCTTTGCAAGAAATTCTTCATCTTCACCGAATTCTGCCAAAAATCGTCTTCCTCCTTTCATGGGGATTATGATTTATAATTTAAAGGGTTCTTCGTTTGCAGGAAGGAAAAGAAGCTGGGGAAAAATAAAAAACGAGGGAAAGAACAAATCTACTGCTATTTATAGTCTACTCTAAGGTAACGAGCCGCTCCTATTTTGTTGTTAAAATTTCGGTTAAATTTACTCTGAAATTCACTTTAAACTCTACACATAAGCTAAAGAGACAATCATTTAATAGTTAATTTTGCGTTAAATTTCTACTTTACCCATCATCTATTGTTTTGGAACTATAATCAAGGTTAAATGAAAAGTAGTTAGTATCATATATTGGGGGCAAAGTTAGGAAGTTAATCTTTAATTTGTCTTGAAATCCTAAAACGACTTATAGTTTGAAATATTTCTCCAAACCTAAAACGTCCTACACTTTGAAATGGATAGAGTATTATTTTTTCTCAAAATTACTATTTTATCTTATTGTATCCAGCTGTACAATCATACTTAGTACAAAACCTAAAACGTCCTACACTTTGAAATGGATAGAGTATTATTTTTTCTCAAAATTACTATTTTATCTTATTGTATCCAGCTGTACAATCATACTTAGTACAACTTTTTGTACACAATATGTTCTTTCTATAGTCCTTCATTATTGCACCCTTCCAAATATATATATATATATATATATATATATATTAAAAAAAATTATTTTGTTTGAAAACTAATAGCCCACGATTACGAATCACTTTCCAAAATATAAGTCGTCTTAGATTTAAAAGATTTCAAAATATGAGTCATTTTAAAAATTCAAGGCAAATTAACTACAGTATTAATTTTTCAAGGTTGCCCTCAGTAAATGATGCTAAATTGCCAATTTTTTTTTATTTAGGACCGGTTTATAATTTCAACACAATTAATGAAAGACAAAACAAATATTTGACGCACAAATTAATAGTAGAATGATTAATGCCTTAGTTTACGAGTAAAATTTAAAATGAGTTCTTTTTGAAATGTTGGAAGTATATTATTTTTGGGTTTAATTATTACTTTTTCCGATTTTTCTAACTGAAAAAAAAAACTGAAAATATTTCTAAAATTTTATAATAATTACTTAGGATTTAGGGTTTGATATATATTCCTTCTGTCCCAAAATTATTGTCCAGTTTGAGATTTCATTTTTAGTATAATTTGAACTAGAAATGAAAACTCAAACTGGACAATAATTATGGGACGGAGGGAGTATTTTTTTAATATGAGTGATAAGAAACATAAGTAATATGAAAACACCAGTTATAAGAAACATACGATCAAAGTCACACCACCGCAACCTTTGTTTCAAAATTAAATAAAATCAAAATGAAACACAGTAACAAATTCAAAAGCACCAAATTTTGATGTTGAAAGCTGAAATTCATCCCTGAGAGGCATGCAGCTCATGTTGATAACATCTTTACTCTAGAGTGCATCGGCGTCGACCTTGGATCCTTTTTGGCTCCACCAGGAGGATTGTTCAAGTTGAAGGTGGCGAGCTTATCATTCATGTCCAAATTAGATCCAAGTCCACATGCAACGCATCTCAGCTCTATCATCTGCTTTTTGTTGATTGCCATGATCGCCTTGGGCTTTTTGCAAAAATAAAACCGGCCACACTTGCAATGAAGAAGGCTATCCAGTTTAGCAGCATCATTAAATCCGTCAAGAAGTGAAGCCTGGGTTCGCTCATCAAAACGAGATTGAGTTCCAAGCTCAATACCAAAGTACTTGGTTGGGTAGGATGCAGGCATCTCCAAAAATTTAGAACAAATCAAAATACTTATACTAAGGACTAGTTGTCCTTTTTTTCTTTTTCAATAATTGAAGTGCTAATATCTTATCTAAGAGTCAACTCTGTAGTGATTAATTGAACAAGCAGCGTGTCAAAGCTGAGCAGTTTGCCATAGAACCACAAAGTTTACAGGAGAATCAACTCATACAACCTTTTGGGAAATAATTGGTTTTGTCTATTGTTGGTGCATGAGGAGCAATGTGTTTCCTGGGCAAAACAAGCCACCCTCACCATTATTATGATGATATTACTTCCTTCTAAGAACAGGCATACTCCATTGACGTTGATACCCAGAGCTAAAGAATCTGTAATGTAATAGTGAAGGCACCAATCCCACTAGCTGCTGCTTAGCAGACCTTCTGGCCTCATCTGTTACCCTAGCTTCCACGGTGAGCGTTTCAAGATCGCAGGACCAATTTTCTCCACAATCTTCAATCTCTTTAAAACGTAAATCAACAACTATCTTCTCCAGAGAAACTGCATTTTCAAGAAAGTACTTGACTAGGTCCAATTCAATGGAACGGCCTCGATATTCAATTATCTCAACCACTCTAAGATGTTGAATAGGGTAATATACAACATTCTCTGGCTCTCTATTGGTCCTTGTTTTAGATGAGTATATTGGCTACAGAAACAAAAAGTGATCATTTAGCAACCCTACGTGTGATAAACCACCCAATTCAATAGGACCACAAAGTTACAAGAACAAAATGTTTAGAATATTGAAAATAAAATATACATACAATACCTTTATTACAAACTTCTCCAAATTTGGTGATACCCTAAAGAACGAAGTAAGTCCGAACATGCTCTCTTCTAAAATTAATAGTAGTTGTAGAGACAGCTGCTTCAGGGCAAGTAGCTGAAGTAGTGTTCTATCAAACTGGATATAAATAAAGTTCTATCAATATCATAAAGTAATTCCCATAAAAATAGTTCATTCATATTGTAATTTGTGAACTAATAATAATTTAAAATATGAATTAGGCTCAAATAACAATATGAGCTACTTTTTGTGACACGGAGGATATAATGACAAATAAATAAAAAGTAAAACTAGAAAGATTTAGTAACATATGTATTCATTATTATTTGTTTTTCCTTGAAATTTATATCTATGATGAAAATTTCATCTTTAATTTTCCTTATTATAATCAAAAGCTCGGGTTTCTCAAACTGGCAAAAACCTTTAAACAAAGTATTAATTCATTAATGTTTTTTTTCCCCTCTTTTTTGGTAGTAGAAAGAATCACTAGTGGTCAAACTCGTAGCCTGCAAATCACAGTAGCAGTTAAATCACCTCGACAAGCATTAGGTGGCAGATTCAAGTAAAACATTGGGAGTACAATAACAAATTTAATGATAAATATTAACTTAGTAATATGTTGTGGCCAACTATTTAAATTCAAAAAGAGGTCTTATGCAGGCATAAATAGGGATACAATATTCCAGTAACACAATAAACAAGATGCATACCTCTTTAGCTTGATAAGGCTCTAGGCATAAGGAAAGAACCTCGAGCTTTGAAAAGTAGCATGAAAACTGGCAAACAAAATCCTTCACGACGTAGCTACAAGAGAGGATGCCAATATGCACGAGCTTGGGAACATTCTTAAGCACTAGTGCTCTATGCTTCCCAATCTTAAGCGAGATAAGATTAACATCACTTATAGTGACGGTATCCAAGGGACAAAAGTTAATTTCCTAGTGTTGTAATGCAATAGATGGACCACAAACTTTCAAAGATCTTAAATGACCTGAGGCATGCACACCCAAACTTTCAAGATTATTGCAATTGTGCAAAAGGAATTCAACAGCGCCCCCAGAAACTAAGACACGTTTGAAAATCAATTCTTTGAGAGAATTCCAACTTCTCTGCGGAAAAATGGTAGGATTAAAAACATAACTCTCGCGGATAGGGATTGTGTACCAATCTGGTCCATGGCTTGACAGGTTATAAATTGGGCCATGGTGTGAAAGGTTTATTTCAAGCTTTTGAACTCTCCTATCAAAGGCATGCTGAAGCCACTTATTCAATTCCGAATGAAAGGAATCATGCAAATCGCAATAAATTCGGAACTTATTCAAAATCGGGGTCTGATGGGAGTGTAGCACCTTATTTACCCAGTTAACAAACTTGGGTCTTTCTCTTATTATTCGGTCCAAGTAATCCTCCCCAGTCACCATCTCGCATAATGTAGTGAATGCGTTAAAATCAAGATCAGGAACATATTTCCACACATCCTTCCATCTTTTCGACAAAATACTTGTCCTGCCAGCTTCTATGAATGTAGAAATGATAGAATAAGACTAAAGATTTCATCTGGAAGCTCACTAATCCGATCTTCAAGTATATGCTGCTGTTTAAAGAATGATAACTACAAAATAAATCAAAAAATGAAAGTGAACTAATTGCACATGACATTGAGATATAAGAAACGAAAAATAAGTAAAACCACAATTGCAGCTACATCAAATCCCAATTTTTACTGAAATCTGAAATAACATCAAAAGCATGACACTAAAAGTATTCTTCATAGATCGCAAAACACATCAATTCCCTAGCCAGGTGAAATACTGCTGTTTAAAGAATGATAATTACGAAGTAAATCAAAAAAATAAAAGTGAACAAATTGCAATGAGATTGAGATATATGAAACGAAAAATCAGTAAGCTACATCAGATCCCAGTTGCTCCTGAAATCTAGAATAACATGAACAACAGGACAGTAAAAGTATTCTTCAAAGATAGAAATACACCCTCAATTGCCTAGCAAGGTGACATATGATACACATTCCTACTTTAACTTCGCAATCACAAACCTATCATCAGCGGCATAGCAAACTTTCTCTGGCCCAAAAGAAGAATACTCGAACCAATGACACAACAACAATTTGACATAAATAATTTTGGTCAGAGCAACGAAATCAGTGAAAAGGAACGACCGACACAACTTGAACACAGTTGATGAAGTGAAGTAGAAAAATGGTTGGACCAAACAGTGAAAAGAGGATCACCTCTTAAAATTAAAATTCAGAATTCAAGAATGATAATGAAAACTTCAGATGGGCATATCTTTGAAACTTTTATCCTGCTAAACCAATTGAAGATATTACTGGTATCTTATGAAAATTTAATTAATGTACTGTTGTAAAAAAGTCTTAAGCTTTGGTTAAAGTTGAAGCGGATCATTATCTAAAGTGGGTAAGGAAAAGAAGTGTCGTGGAAAGACATATTTTGGTAAAATGCTAATAGCTTGTGATAGAAACTCTAATGATGTGATTCAAGATGCTACAGAAATCTAAAAGAAAGGTGAAACTTTTATGCAGAACACTTTTCCAAATTTGCAAGTGAAGACCTTCAAAGCTAGGTGAACAAATAGACTAACATTCGATTCAACCAATCAGTTCAACTAGCACATGAAATGGTGCAGGAAGTGTTCAACTCATGTAGGGTTTCAAAATAATTTTGTAAACACTTTTTCAGCGATTTTTTTAAACCCAAACCCCACACTTTGGAATATTATCTTATCCCATCACTTTGGAATTTTCATTATATTATCTATTACATTAATCTTAGACACTCATTATTTAACCCTGAAAATCGAGATATCGCCTGGCTAATAAAACAATTCAGAATAAAAAATCATGAAAATATTAGGTTTAAAAAATTCAAAAATTTATATTTGTTTAAACAAAGACTAATCTTTTAAACTGTAAATAATTTTCATAGTTGAGTCAATGATATAGTATTTTATTTAAAATAATTCTAAATCTTGTTTAATTGTAAATATTTTCATAATTTAGTCTTTTCTTAAAAAAACTATATAAACTTTTGAGTTTTTTTGGAAAATATCATCTAATTGATATTGATATTTTGAGTTATTTTTTAATTTAATATTATTTAATATTTAAATTATTACTTTTTCGATAAATCAAAGTCTCCATAACTACACTCACATACATTATCTCAGTCCGTAATTGAGACAAGTAAAAAAATAAAGAAACTCATATGATTGGGATCTACTTTGTAAATATAATCCCCCAAAATTTCATAGATTAAAAAAATTTCAAAATAAAAAATTAGATTAGAATATAATCCTAAATTCTAATTTAATCATTCTTATATTACACATTTCATAAATGTATTTTTACATTATCCCAAGCCCGCTAAGTAAAAAATAATATAAATTTTTTGCAATGAGGGTACAATTAAAAACGTTTCTAAAATAATATCCCAGTGGAGTATCATTTTTCATTGTTGTTTAAAAAAGTAAAATTTTTGAAATGTCCATTAATTTAACATTTATTTTAATCCTTAATAATTTTTACGAATATAATATTTTAATATTTATATTAATATTTTATTTAATAGTATTAAGTTTTTTTATTATTTATTTCAAAAATATCCTAGTTAACTTGAATACAAATTTGGTCGAACTATTAGAATAGTGCCAAAGGATAAAAAAAAAATTGCAAACAAAATTGTAGAGCACCAAAATATTCATTTTCAATGAAAAGAACCATTCTCTGATAAATAAATTCAATGTCACCGTTGGACAAGTTTTATAAAATTCAATGGCACCAAAATATTCATTTTATAAAATTACCAAAGATTTTAATTTTACTAGTATTATTATGCTATAAACTAGGGGGCGACATGTAAAATACCGAAAATAAAAAATCTAAAAAAGTCAGGGAAATTAAAAACGTTTCTAAAGTAGGGACGACAAATCACGCCTCTTAATTCACCACTTTCTAATAGCTTTACATGGACGCCTCTTAAATCACGCTCTGTTAAAGTAGGTTTTTAGGTCTTTAACATGGACGCCGGCCGGGGAAAGCAGGCGCCGTCGAAGTTCTCGGTGTACCAGAACCCAGCTCTCTCAGCTGCACTGACTTCCAACAGCCTCCGTCCTCGCAAGTCCACTTTCCTATTTATCCTCTCTCTCTTATCGGCCTCCGCCATTGCGCTCTTTACCGCCACCTCGAGGTACATTCAAAATGCTTGTTGCTTATAACAATTCTCCAAATCAATTATTTCGGGTTGAAGCTTGGTTCTAATTAAGTGCGTGTTTAGCTAGGGTTTTGCAATTTCCTTTCAGCTGTTGAATGGTATTTTTTTTTTTCCCAATTGGACAAGGGTTATTGATTTTGGGTTGGTAAAGCTGGACTTGTTTGCCTTTATGTTCTTTTGATATATACCATGAATGACGCTGCGAATTAGACTTCGGAAACTTAGATTGGTATTGTCCGTGAATTTAGCTTTTCATGTCTGTTGATTTCGCATGGCTAAATGCAACTGTTTGGTGAATGTTTTGAAGGAAAATTGGAACCACCGAGCCTCTTGTGCTCAGCGTTGTTACAAAACCCGAAGAATCCTGTAAGTAAAGTGTAAATTTTGTGTAAGCTCCTTGATATGTGTTTACACTTGATTCATCAGAAAGGAAAAGTTTTATGAACCAAGGTTCACATTGCTTTCAGGGTGTTATTGAAACTTATACAAGTAATCACGGGTGTAGTTCTGCTCGGCTCAGTGCTTGCACTCGGCAAAGCTGTTTCAGTGTGGAGGGCGAGAACTGCTACAGAAGTGAAGATTGCTTCTGCTTCTAATGGAAAGGAGGAGCAAGTTAGTCTTACACCCCGACAACTTGGGACTGATTGGAATGAAGCCTAAAGCTGAACAGCCTGCTGTTGGTTCTGCTAAGAACCCCCCCAAGTCAAAGACTAAATCTCCTTCGGAAATGCTGGTTCCACTTCATCAGCCAATCAATGTTTTTAATAATTCATCCAGAATAAGGAGTCACTCAGGGATCAGTGGTGGGAGTAGCACTTTCAGCACGAGCAGAAAGCAGCAAAGGCCTGCCCAGCCAAATCATGAGCCTCCTGTACTTTGAAGGCGAGAAACTTTACAAACAAAAAACCTGGAAAAACAATCTAAACGACAGAAAGTATCAGAAAGCAGCAGCTGCAATTCCTGTGGTGCAGTAACCTGATGCTGAAGAAGCTGAGTTAAGACCAAACAATCTGTGTACAGCACTATTTCACGATGAACTGAGGGATCCACCGCATCCAAGGCATGCAAACACCCCATCGCCTCAGCCTGCAAAGGAAACAAAGCACCAAAAACAGAACTACCAGTAGCCAGCACTTGGCCACTGGGAGAAGAAAAGATCCAGCCAGCACCCCCCCCTGATAAGAGTGTAGATAGAAAGCACCATCAAACTTCAAAAAAGGTTAAGTGCAATAAATAGTGGGGTCCTGGAGAAGGATTTCTTGTTTCCAAAGGTGCAGTAATGTGATAACTGATAAGAGACAACAGGTTGCGTAACTTGCAGTTGAAATTTTTTATCCAACAAAGGAAACAAGTACAGCATAGCAGAATACAAAATAAATCAATTTGATCACAACATTGTCCCAGTAAACGCATCAAAGCAGAATACTGTTGGCGCAAGAGCAAAGCAGTGGCGGAATCGGAAATATTATCTTAAGAGATGAGCTTGTCAACTCCAACAGTGCAGTATTATAAAACGACCACAACAAAAATGAGAACACAAAAAATAACTAGAAAATGTAAGCCTTGATCGTTGGTACCTTCAACTTATAAAAATCCAAACTTTATCTGCATCCCACTAGAATTTCATGAATTTTGACAACACGAAACACAAGTTTCTAATCAAATAGAGCTTCTGGGTTTTGAGTCATTGAACCCGCCAAGAATGGCAGACAATAAAAACTCGAAGCTCCATGGCGAAATGTAGGAGAACCCTTAAGCTCAAAAGTTTGACAAAGGCAGTAATCAATGATAAAGTTTGACAAACAGCTTCCATAACCAACAAGATCACCGTTGGATACATACCACCCCCAATATATAGCACCCAAAAATAAATGATAAAAGCTCCATCCACGACCAACACAGCGTGACATTGAGAGGTCACCATTATTATGATGATATTACTTCCTTCCAGACCAAGCATACTCCATTGACGCCGATACCCAGAACTAAAGAATCTGTAATGTAATGTGTGAAGGCACCAATCCCACTAGTTGCTGCTTAGCCCACCTTCTAGCCGCATTTGTGACCTCAGCTTCCACAGTGAGTGTCTCAAGATCGCAAGACCAATTTTCTCCACAATGTTCAACCTCTTTAAAACGTGGATCAACAATTATCTTCTTGAGAGAAACAGCACTTTCAAGAAAGTACTTGACTAGGTCCAATTCAATTGAACGGCCTCGATATCCAATTATCTCAACCACTCTAAGATGTTGAACTGGGTAATATACAACATTCTCTGGCTCTCTGTTGGTCCTTACTTCAGATGAGTATCCTAGCTGCAGAAACAAAAGGTGATCATTTAGCAACCCTAAGTGTGATAAACCAGCTGACTTCAATAGTACCACAGGAGTTACAATAGCAAGATGTTTAAAGGATAGAAAATACAATTTACATACAATACCTTTATTACAAACTTCTCCAAGTTTGGTGATGCCCTAAAGAATGAAGTAAGTCCAAGCATGCTTTCTTTAAAAAGTAATAGAAACTTTAGAGATAGCTGCTTCAGTGCAGGTAGCTGAGGTAGTTTTACATCAAACTGGATATAAGTAAAGTTTCTGTCAATATCATAAAGTAATACTCACTGTTCCAAAAAAATAATTCACATTGTAATTTGTGAATTAGTCAAAATGTGCTATATGAAGGCACCAATTACAACAGGAGCTGCTTTTTGTGACGCAGAGGCTATAATGACTAATAAATGATAAAAATTAAAAGTAAGAAGATTTAGTAACATATGGATTTATTATTATTTGTTTTTCTTTGAAATTTATATCTATGATGAAAATTTCATTTTCAATTTTCCTTATTGTAATCAAAAGTTCAGGTTCCTCAAACTGAAAAACTAAAGATTTAAAAAGTAATCATCAATCTTTGACTTCATCACACTAACTACCTTTTCTTCATTCCATGATTTTATTTTCTTACTGACAAGAAAAACATTTGAATAAAGTATTAATTTTTATTAATATTTTTTCCTTTCTTTTTTTTTTTTTGATGATACTGAGAATCACTGGTACTTAAATCCATATCCTGCAAATCACATAACCACCTCCACTAGCACCAGGTGGCAGATTCAAGTGAAACATTGGAAACTAACAAATTTAATGATAAATAGTAACTTATTAATATGTTGCCGTCCAACAGTTTAAATTCAAAGAGGTTTTTCGTAACTCTGAATTCACAGCATAACTACGCAAACAAATTCCAATAACACAATGAGTAAGATGCATACCTCTCTAGCTTGATTAGGATCTAGACATAAGAAAAGAACCACGAGCTTTGAAAAGTAGCATGAAAACTGGCAAACAAAATCCTTGACGACGTAGCTACGAGAGAGGATGCCAATATGCACAAGCTTCGGAACGTTCTTAAGCACTAGTGCTCTATGCCTCCCAATCTTAAACGAGATAAGATTAACATCACTTATAATGACGGTATCCAAGGGACAAAAGTTAATTTCCTAGTGTTGTAATGCAATAGATGGACCACAAACTTTCAAAGATCTTAAATGACCTGAGGCATGCACACCCAAACTTTCAAGATTATTGCAATTGTGCAGAAGGAATTCAACAGCGCCCCCAGAAACTAAGACCCGTTTGAAAATCAATTCTTTGAGAGAATTCCAACTTCTCTGCGCAAAAATGGTAGGATTAAAAACATAACTCTCGTGGATAGGGATTGTGTCCCAATGTGGGCCGTGGGTTGACAGGTTATAAATTGGGCCATGGTGTGAAAGGTTTATTTCAAGCTGTTGAACTCTCTTATCAAAGGCATGTACAAGCCACTTATTCAATTCCGAATGAAAGGAATCATGCAAATCGCAATAAATTCTGAACTTATTCAAAATCGGGGTCTGATGGGATTGTAACACCTTATTTACCCAGTTAACAAACTTGGGTCTTTCCCTTATTATTCGGTCCAAGTAATCCTCCCCAGTTACCATCTCGCATAATGTAGTGAATGCGTTAAAATCAAGATCAGGAACATATTTCCACACATGCTTCCATCTTTTCGACAAAATACTTGTTCTGCCAGCTTCTTTGAGTGTTAGAAACGATAGAATAAGACTAAGGATTTCATCTGGAAGCTCACTAATCCGATCTTCAAGTATATGCTGTTGTTTAAAGAATGATAACAACAGAAGAAATCAGAAAATGAAAGTGAACTAATTGCACATGAGATTGAGATACGAGAAACAGAAATCAGTAAAATCACAATTGCAGCTACATCAAATCCCAATTTCGACTGAAATCTGAAATAACATCAACAGCGTGACACTAAAAATATTCTTCTTCAAAGATCGAAATACACATCAATTGCATAGCCAGGTGACATACTTCTGTTTAAAGAATGATACCTATGAAGTAAATAAAAAAAATGAAAGTGAACAAATTGCAATGAGATTGAGATATATGACACGAAAAAATTAGTAAAATCACAATTGCGGCTACATCAGATCCCACTTGCTCCTGAAATCTGAAATAACATGAACAATGTGACAATAAAAGTATTCTCCAAGATAGAAATACACCATCAATTGCCTAGCAAGGTGGCATATAATACACATTCCTACTTTAATCTCGCAATCACGAACCCTATCATCAGCGGCATAGCAAACTTTCTCTGGCCCAAAAGAAGAATACTCGAACCAATGACACAACAACAATTTGACATAAATAATTTTGGTCAGAGCAACTAAATCAGTGAAAAAGAACGACCGACACAACTTGAACACAGTTGATGAAGTGAAGTAGAAAAATGGTTGGACCAAACGGTGAAAAGAGGATCACATGTCTTAAAATTAAAATTCAGAATTCAAGAATGATAATGAAAACTTCAGATGGGCATATCTTTGAAACTTTTATCCTGCTAAACCAATTGAAGATATTACTGGTATCTTTTGAAAATTTAATTAATGAACTGTTGTAAAAAAGTCTTAAGCTTTGGTTAAAGTTGAAGCGGATCATTATCTAAAGTGGGTAAGGAAAAGAAGTGTCGTGGAAAGACACATTTTGGTAAAATGCTAATAGCTTGTGATAGAAACTCTAATGATGTGATTCAAGATGCTAAAGAAATCTAAAAGAAAGGTGGAAATTTTATGCAGAACACTTTTCCAAATTTGCAAGTGAAGACCTTCAAAGCTAGGTGAACAAATAGACTAACATTGGATTGGGGTGGGGGTCCCGCGGAATGAGTTCGATTCAACCAATCAGTTCAACTAGCACATGAAATGGTGCAGGAAGTGTTCAACTCATGTAGGGTTTCAGGATAGCTAGAATCATCTTAGAATTAAGTATGTTTTTTACTTTAGTTTCCTGTTTAAAGCATTCACTTTAGTTATCAGTCATTAGGTTTAGGAAATTAATAAGCTTTAAGAATAATCAGACCTCGAAGTTTTGCAGCCTTGTGATTGACATTTGATTAATGTAAAAAATCAGCTTTTTTTTTTTTTTTATAGCTTTCAAATACTGTCTTCTAATAGACAGCTAAGGTTTGTTCTGCTCATTCCTATAGTTTGATTCAGTCCCTTGTTTCCCACCGCAAACCAACAAGGAGGATTCAAAATGCGAGCAAATCAGTCCAAAAATTGACCTTTTCAGCTGTCTACCACACATTGAATCCTATGACCATCAATCAACTTGCAGAGTAACTCAAGCAAAAAGCCCAAAGTTCACAATAACGACAGCTAAAAATAAGCTAAAAGAGGACCAAATTGTACCGCAAAGTAGAAACGTGATATATAACATAGTGTTCTGCCACAGATTTACCATCGGACACTTATCTAAAACTACCCAGCGCTGTTCAATCACCCCTAGATGGCCACAAGCAGAATCCCGAATCAATACCAAAATAATAACAATAAAAAAAAAAAACCTTTTAAATTCAGAAAACCACTAATCATTCGAGAACAACAAACCCACAGGAAAAAAAAAAAAAACGGAAGAAAGGGCCTAACCTCGGGAGGAGGAGGATTTGTCTTAACGGTGCCGTCAAGATTCGGGTCAAGTATGCGGAGCCTGGTCCGCAACAACAACCAACTCAGAGCAGCACTGGAAGCAAACAGGACAAGTTCGTGAAAGAACTTAGAGGACGAGTTCTCGCAAGAACTTGTTCGTCTCCTGTGAACTGCCGTCATTCTAAAATAAACTCTGCCAATACCACTGTTCCTCCGATGATGGCTATTATTTTGGGGTAACAATTATTCACCTAAAAAGAGAAGAAAAAAATTCTTTGTGATGATTTACATAATAATAAAGCATGCCGTTCGCGCGAAATATGTGTGAGTGTGTGTGACTGGGTGGCTGAGGCGATGGGCAATTGGGCATTTTTTTGAATAACCATAGTAATAATTTATATTAAGTGAAAAGATAAAACAAAGTTACAACTGCCTAACCGGAAAAATTGGCTAATCTATGCTAAGCTTTACATACGTTGTCAATTCTACTTTATTATTTTTTGATTAGTCAACATTACTCAAAACTATCCAATCGATAGCCGATTTTGTCCAATTTGCTCTTTTCCGTTTAAATTAACGGAATTCTATTTAGTTTAATTATAAAAATACCCTAATAATTTTAAAAATTATAAAAATAACCTCAAAAATTTATAAAAATAACAAAACAGTCTCTTTTCAGTTTTTGTTTAATTTTTTTTTGTTTTTTTATTTCTTTTTAATATTTTCAGAACTATAAAAATATACTATATGATCTTTTAAAAAAAAACTATTTATTTTTAAACTCTAATGTACAAATTTATAATTTGATATTTGTAAGTCATGTTTAATTTACATAAACATATTATTTTTTTAATAATATAATTTAACGGTAATGATATTATTTTTTTAATCCATTTTTTTTCAATCTAAAGAATAAGATTATTTAACTAAAATTAATTTTGCACAAAAAAATAACAGATTTAGTATAGATTAAAAAAGAAGTTATTGGTATACTTTAATGTATTACAATTTAATTCAACAGACTTTAGATTATATCATAAAATTTTAAAAATAATTGAAACTAAAATATAAATTTTTCTGTAAAAGGCCAAGTACGAAAAGAAAGTAAAAAAAAAAAAAACACCTATTTCATTTCTACATTGGCCCAACACAAGAATATAGTGCCATGGTATTTACAAAAATGGTACAAAATATTTTTTAAAAAAACATTTATATTTATCATTGCGAGGGTTTAACATTTTGCGATAATTTTTTGAGATATTAATATATCTAACTTTAGCAGAATGTTTTTTTTTAAAAAAAATAATATAAAGAAAATCTATTCCAGTACTGGACTCCACCTTTTTTTAAGAAAAAAATTAGATTGCCCCAGTGAGAATCGAGACATCGAACACAGTAATTTTATCTCACATCCTAAATCACCTGACCATCTAACCCTCTCGTCTTTAGTGGACCCTGCTTAAATATGGATAAAATCACTCTCCCGATTAAAAATCCTTTGGTGAGACTTAATCTTATATCTACTCTCATGAAACAGAAAATTTGGCTGATTATTTTTTAATCTATGCTAAATTTTTTAATTTTTTGTAAAAAAATTAGTTTTGGTAAGAAAAAATCTTATTCTTTAAATTTAAAAAAATGGATTAGAAAACTAATATCATTATTTTCTAGCCATAGTATTAAAAAAATTAATATGTTTATATAAATCAACCATGAATTACAAATATGTATATCTATAAATTTGTACAGTATTGTTTAAAAATAATTTTTTATTCTAAAAGATCATATAGTATAGTTTTATAGTTATAAAAAATAGTAAAAAGAAACAGAAAATAGAAAAAAAAAATTAAATAAAAAGTGAAAAGAGACTATTTTGTTATTTTTACAAATTTTTAAGATTATTTTTATAATTTTTAAAACTATTAGGATATTTTTGTAATTAAAACTAACAGAAAATCCGTTAATTTAAACGGAAATTGGTAAATTGGACAAAATCGGCTAACGGTTGAATAGCTTAGGGTAATATTGACTTATCGAAAAAGAATAGAGTAAAATTGACAACGCATGTAAAGACTAGGGTAGATCGGCCAATTTTTCCGTGCCTAACCTAACTACATGCTTCGCTAATCTGTTGACATTTTCAACAATGTTCCTACTAACTTTTTCTAGTCTGCAATACATGAATTCCCTTTTAACTAGTAAAATATCCTCTCCTAAATGTGGTAAAGGAAATTGAGGACTGATGAGACCGGATTCCAAAACAGCTATTGAGATACTGTCTGTCTGGAGAATGCAATTTGTTATCCCTTGAGAGAATGCAGCTTGCAGTCCCAGTAGTCCTTCAGCTTGAAGTGCCGAATATGCAAAAAAGGCTCTATGTCCATATGACAAAGGTGATCCTAGATTGGAGATTATTTTCCAAGCTGCAGCAGCTCGCTTGCCCTCTTCACAAAATGTGCCGTCTACACGAATAAAATAATCAGCTTGGGGTGCAGCTGAATGGTGTATCTCTTCTTGGACTGGATGTTCCACTGGAGGGATTTGCCCTTGAAATATGTCAATATCATTAAAAACTTTAAATTCCTGCAGGAATCGATTTTGGACTTCCAAAGGGTGCGGTTGCCTGTTTTCCCATAATCTTTCATTTCTTGAAAGCCAGAGAGACCAAATGATGAAAAAAGATTGTTGAAGGGCTTGTTGATCCGGAGCAGTCAGTAGCCAATCATTTAACCAAGCTGAGAAACTTTCTCCAATCCCTTGCTCAAAGTCTAGACCTTATGGTGAAAGTCTCCACACCCATCTGGAAAACTCACAGTCAAGAAAAAGATGCTTTACGTTCTCATCTTCTTTCCCACACCTACCACATGTTGTTGGAAGATCAATACCCCTCCTCTTTATTGAAGCAAGAGTGGGCAGAGCATTGTTTGCCGCCCTCCATATTAACCATTGAATCTTTCCTGGGACTTTAACCCTCCAAAAGCGCTTCCAAGCTGTTTCAGTCATGGATGAAGTTCTTGTTGCTGACGTGCTAGCCCTGTTTTCCTCCCAATTGTTCATTGCTTGATGATATCCCGACTTGACAGTATACTGCCCTGATGAAGTTTAAGCCCATATTCTTTTGTCTGATTTATTATCAGGACTTAAGGGAATGTATACTAAAAGGATTTTATTGACTACTTGTGGTGGAAATATCTTTACCAACATTGAAATTCTCCAACTGTAATTATCATCCATGAGATCTCTTACCTTCAAATTTATCAACTCGTGGAACAGTTGATTGTGGGTTAGAGGATTCAATGTATTCGGAATCCATTCATCATGAACCTGAATGTTTTTGCCGTTCATTACCCTCCATTTAAGGCTTTTTTTTAGCAATTCCTTACCCCAAAGTATGCCGCGCCAACCCCAGGAAGCTTTTTGCTTGCAGTGACAATCTAGCAAACTCTTTGATTTCAGATGCTTTGCAGACAAAACTTTGGCGAAGAGAGAATTAGGATTATCAAGTATTCTCCATGCCATCTTTGCTAAGAATGCTTGATTAAGCTCTCTTGATGATCTCATGCCAAGTCCCCCTCTAAACTTTGACTTGCAAATATCTGTCCAAGCTTTTCAATGAATACTTCTGCCCTCTTTATCTCCTTTCCAAATAAAATTGGCTATCAAAGAGTCTATTTACTTTGTGATTGATTGTGGAAGCTTAAAAACCCCCCATCATGTAAATAGGAAGTGACGCCAAAGAGTGTTTCGCTAGAGTCACTCTGCCCATCATTGAAAGGGAGTCATTTCTCCATGTTTGAAGTTTTTTCTTCATTCTTTCAATAATGCTTCTAAATAGCACTTGCTTTCTCTGCATGAAATCTAAATTGAGCCCCAAGTATTTTCCTTTGTATGCTCCATTCTGTATCCTGAGTCGTAGAGATAGCTAGTCCTGATCATCTTTGGGCATATTAGGGCTTGTCATTAATGCAAACTTGTTGAAATTTACCCGCTGACCGGATAACCTTGCATACTGGTTCAGAATTTCAGCAAAATTGCACACATTATTGTCCTTGATTTCCATAAAGATCAAACAATCGTCCGCATGCATGAGGTGTGAAACCCTTGGTGCGGACCGTGCTATTTTAATACCAAAGCCTCTGCTTCTGCTATCCAAGTTATTGATTGCCAAAGAAAAAGCTTGCGAACAGAGAATAAAGAGATGTGGTGAAAGAGGACATCCTTGGCGCAGTCCTCTCTTCAGTGTAAACGTGCTTGACTGCCACCCATTAAAAGAAATTGTGTACGATACTGTTGACACACATTTCATGATCAACTGAATCATCTTCGTTGGAAAATCCATTTTCTCCAGATATTGTTGTAAGAAATTCTATCATACGCCTTGCTTATGTCTAGCTTGAGTGCTGCGAGCCCAACATTGTTGCCAGTTCTTCGACGGATATGCTCTATTAATTCATGAGCTAGCAGGATATTCTCTCCAATATGTCTCCCAGGGACAAACCCATTTTGGTTTTCCCCACTCAATGAGCTGATGGACCTCTTCATTCTGTTTGCTAATATCTTCGTCACAATCTTGTAAAGCACATTACACAGACCAATAGGACGAAAATCTGAAGGCGCAACTAGATTCCCTTTCTTTGGAATAAATATGACATTTGTTTGATTCCAAGAATCCTACCATTGCTAATTATTTAAGACAGAAAGGATGTTGGAGACTAGTTTCCGTCTTGTGATGCTCCAATATCTCTGATAAAAGCCAGCCGGAAACCCATCTGGACCAGGTGCCTTCCACGGAGACGTACTAAAAATTGCTGCTCTGAATTCTTCTTCTGTATATTCTGCATCCACATTTAGTTTCCGTCCCTGTGAAAGTTTTTTTGTAATAAGGTCCATGATGTTAATTCCAGAACCCCAAATCAGATCATCATCAGGATGAAAGTTTTCTTCCACAAAGACTCTTTTGAAATGAGAGAACATAAGTTCCTGCATCTGTTGTTGAGTGTGAGTCCAAACTCCATTCTCGTCCTTGAGCCCTGTTACCCAATTCCTTCCCTTTCTTTTTTGCGCCCAAGAGTGGAAAAATTTCATGTTCTTGTCTCCTTCAAGGCTCCACTTCATCTTAACCCTCTACTTCCAGTAATCACTTTGAAAGGTTAAAAGCCTTTCTAGCTGCAATTTCACTTCATCAATGTCTTTCTCATTAACCAAAATTCCTTCCCCGCCTGAAGTATGGCTAATTTGTCCGTGCAGGCTTTTATTTGGCTATCCAAATTGCCGAAGGCCGTGGTGTGCCAGTTGGCCAAATGCTTGAGGCTGATGTCTAGCAGAGTACTTACTTCATTGCTTGTTGAGGATCCTGTAGGTTGTGAAGTTTCAGATCCATTATCCTGTGACCATACTCTAGTCAGAATGGCTGTTACAGCTTCTGTTTTGCACCAAAAAGCTTCAAACTTTGGTTTTCTTTTGTTCCTGGCCACATCCCCCTCCGTGCATAATAAAATAGGACCATGATCTGATGTTGTTATGGGGAGGTTTAGAACATAAGCATGTGGAAACTGAGTCTTCCAGTCTGAGTTTGCAAAAGCACAATCCAATTTCTCAACTATTCTTGCTTGTCCCTTCTAGTTGTGATGGTAATCTCGTAGACGAACCAAATTTCATTAATGGAACCATCAATAAGAAAGATCTTAAAAATATGTTTGAAAGTGAAACTTTAAAAGAGTGCAGAATTTTCACAAATAAACTAGACCGTTGAAAAGAATTCATAACCTTATGAACTCAAGAAAAAGATCATAACAAAATCCAAATAATCATTCGGATCGAACAACTTAATTTTAAAAAGATGAAACCCCTCAATATAATCGAGCAATCACCCGTATAATTGACGACACATGTAAAGAGCAAATCACTCACTCAACTATAAACAAAATATCGAATATATCTCTATATTGGACCGTATATATTCATAACTAACAGTAATAAGCAAAACAAAACATATTATTCATCATGTTATTTCCATGCAAACTCATCTATATAATAGATAAATCAACAAGGTATCCTACAATCTTAGAACACAAACAACTCGACATAACTAAGCAAATAAACATGCTCAACCCTTCGGCCTTTACACTAAACATGATAAGAAAATTAGTTTTAAAATAACTAAATCATGCAATATGCTCAATATGATAAAACGGTTTAACTCAAAGAACCAAGTCACACGTTAGGCTCTAAGATAGGAAAAAAGAACTAACCATTCTCTTCCTTTGAAACAAGAAACGCTCATAGTTTAAGAAAAACCACAAAGGGCTCAAATCAATTTCATTGATTAAAATTTTTGACTCATCATCTTATGTTTTTTTGGTAAGAGGTTCGGCCCCCTTATAAGGCGAGCAACCTTGCTCTCCAAGACAAAAATCCCTACTTTTTAGATAGAATCCCTTAGCTTTAGGCTAAAGAAACTCTCCTTTCCTTGTACTACTCAATCCAATTCACAGAAAGGAAAGACGTAGTCAATTTTCACTCAAACTCTAACTAAACTTAACCATTAAGTAAAGTAATTAACTTTACTTCCTTTTAATGGAAAAAGACTAATCTATCATTAATGAAATTAAACCATTCGGCCGCCCCTTATATTCTTACCTTAAGGGTATGCTTTTTATTTTAACTATAGGTAAATAGACTTATTATCTATTTATGGACTCAACAATAATTTAAATAATTTAAATAAATTACTCCCGCGCGTTTCCCTCCTTTTGATTGGCGCGGCGCGGCTCCAATTCAAAACTCTATCTTCAATTGATGTCTTCTACACACTTGAATGTGTATCTTCAATTTCTTCAAGGCGCTTGCTCTTTGAAACAAACTCACTTGCATCAATCTCTTGGACATCACTTGAATCTCCATCACTCGAACCACTCCATTTGCTAGGGAAGTCATCACTTGACTCCTCAGACATTTATTGACGATTAAGCGATTCTTCTTCAATCTCGTTGTTCCCACTAGAAGGTGTTGGTGAATACTCCTTCAAAGAAGGCCAAGTCCTCACAGCGCACTTTCTTCTATTCTTAAACGAAAACAATCTTGGACCACCAACTGACAAGAACATCTTTTGCTCCTTCATTTGATGTTAACTTCGATGTGAAGCCATATGATTTTCATCAGGTTGTTTGTCCATGTAAAACAATTTCCTCTAGAGACAATCTCAGACATTATCAAAAGCCTGCAGCAAGCTTAAAAGCTAGCTTGCATAATTTCTTCTAAATGCCCGTCTTCTTTTTTTATCCTCTGGATTAATCACTTGATTGAAATCTCCCATCCATAGCCATGGCAATGAGTACCCAGAGACAACAATCCTAATCTCGTTCCAAGTTTCTGCCCTCAGAGTCGCATTTGACTGACCATAGACAAACAGTGCACCCCAACAAGTACCATTTGCTTCTTTAATGCTACAAGCTACTAGAGAGCTACTACTACTCAATATTTCAATATTTACATTACCAGTCCAAAATAAACCAATTCTACCAGCTAAATTACCTGATGATGCAACCACACAATCACAGAAACTAGTTCTACTAACCCAACGCATAACAACAAACTCAGTTATCAGTAATTCTTGCAAAAATAGAACATCTGGTTTATGTAATTTAACTAATCTTTTCAAGGTTGCTACTGTAGGTGAACGGTTAAGTCCCCTGCAGTTCCAGGAAATTGCTCTCATGGCTGCTTGGATGGTTGATATGGTTCAACCACAGAAAAACCTCCTAGAGTTGAAGCTGTTACATCTGCAGTGTCCCTGTCTTACATCACCTGTATTTGACTAGTCGTATCATCCAATTGAATGAAATCCCCAGTAATCAGAGATTTCTCTTAAACACTTTGTTCTTTTCCATCAAACCTGGTTTTTTTTAAAGTTATTAGAGACGATAGATGACACCAGTATTGTGACTTGATCCTCTTCCCGCCACCTCTTCCGGAATACGTCCGATTTGACCCCCATTTTCCTTGGTCGTCCTTCCCCAAATCTTTTCTCTTGGGTAAGCCTTGGTTTTTTTAGAATTCCCGTTCTATTGTTAGCATGCCCCATCTCACGTTTTCTTCCTGTCAATCTCTGCATCAGCTGAAGCGTGGGACGAAATAGTGATGTTGACTTTAATGTGCTATACTCCATTTTGAGCCTTTTACTTTGACAAATTTCAGCATCAACTTGTTTTGACGATTGTACCACTCCATCTTCTTTTTTTTTTTATCCCCGAAAGTCAACATGTTGACATTTGTAGGCTGCGATTTCTCCACCAGTGGGCTGCGCAAGATTGGGAAAATTCATGTTCCTTTGCAGGGCCATTTTGTGTGTCCATGATTTTAGCTTTTTGCATGGCCCACACACCATGTATTTGCTTGCGTCCCAAGAATACACGTCGCCTGAAGTTTCCAGAGACCGCTTCCTTCGCAACATTACATACACGTGTTCACTTTTCATTCGACCAAATTCTTCAATCTGTAAAATGCTTGCTTACAAGATACGGTTATCATCCTCTACTAGGCTTGTCGGAGTGCTGACATGGCGCTGCCTGACTGAGTTTCCCACACTGACATCGGCGGCACCGCCGTTCGTCCCATTGTTTAAGGACGAATCTTTTGTGGGTTTACAGTAAGTCGACGGGTGTCCCAGTCGTCTACATCTTTTACAAATTTTGTACCCCTTCTATTAATTATTATCTTATTCCAATAATAAATACTCCATCTGAAAGGCTGACTTAAATAACACAAACGATTGAGGTCTTATGGTGGTATTTTATATTATAGTATAAACTAGGGGGGCCTCATATAAAATGCCTAAAATAAGAAGCGCATTTTTAAGCAAGTAATAGGAATCACGCCTTCATTCACCACTTGAACGGAGAACTTTCTACTAGTTTACTACTAAAATAAAGAACTAAGGACTTTTTAATTTGCACTCAACAATGGCGGTTTAGTGGATTTATTTCAAAAATCTTCCGGTGGGTTTTGAGGTCTTTAACATGGACGCCGGACGGGGAAAGCAGCCGCCGTCGAAGTTCTCAGTGTACCAGAACCCAGCTCTCTCAGCTGCACTGACTTCCAACAGCCTCCGTCCTCGCAAGTCCACTTTCCTATTTATCCTCTCTGTCTTATCGGCATCCGCCATTGCGCTGTTTACCGCCACCTCGAGGTGCATTCAAAATGCTTTTTGCTTATAAAAATTCTCCAAATCAATTACTTCGAGTTAAAGCTTGGTTCTAATTAATTGGGTGTTTAGCTAGGGTTTTGTAATTTCCTTTCCGCTGTCGAATATTTTTATTTCGATTGGACAAGGGTTATTATTGATTTTGGATTGGTAAAGCTGGAGTTGTTTTCCGTTATGTGTTTTTGATATACCATGAATGACGCTGCGAATAAGACTTGGAAGCTTAGATTGGTATTGTTCGTGAATTAAGAATTTTATGTCTGTTGATTTCACATGTCCAAATGCTACTGTTTGGTGAATGTCTTGAAGGAAAATTGGAACCAACGAGCCTCTTGTGCTTAGCGCTGCTACAAAACTCGAAGAATCTTGTTAAGTAATGTGTAAAGTTTGTGTAAGCTCCTTGATATGTGTTTACACTTGCTTCATCAGTCCGGAAAAGTTTTATGAACACATTGCTTTCAGGGTTGTTATTGAAACTTATACAAGTAATCACGGGTGTAGTTCTGCTCGGCTCGGTGCTTGCACTTGGCAAAGCTGTTTCAGTGTGGAGGGCGAGAACTGCTACAGAAGTGAAGATTGCTTCTGCTTCTAATGGAAAGGAGGAGCAAGTTAGTCTTACACCCCGACAACTTGGGACTGATTGGAATGAAGCCTAAAGCTGAACAGCCTGCTGTTGATTCTGCTAAGAACCCCCCCAAGTCAAAGACTAAATCTCCTTCGGAAATGCTGGTTCCACTTCATCAGCCAATCAATGTTTTTAATAATTCATCCAGAATAAGGAGTCACTCAGGGATCAGTGGTGGGAGTAGCACTTTCAGCACGAGCAGAAAGCAGCAAAGGCCTGCCCAGCCAAATCATGAGCCTCCTGTACTTTGAAGGCGAGAAACTTTACAAACAAAAAACCTGGAAAAACAATCTAAACGACAGAAAGTATCAGAAAGCAGCAGCTGCAATTCCTGTGGTGCAGTAACCTGATGCTGAAGAAGCTGAGTTAAGACCAAACAATCTGTGTACAGCACTATTTCACGATGAACTGAGGGATCCACCGCATCCAAGGCATGCAAACACCCCATCGCCTCAGCCTGCAAAGGAGACAAAGCACCAAAAACAGAACTACCAGTAGCCAGCACTTGGCCACTGGGAGAAGAAAAGATCCAGCCAGCACCCCCCCCTGATAAGAGTGTAGATAGAAAGCACCATCAAACTTCAAAAAAGGTTAAGTGCAATAAATAGTGGGGTCCTGGAGAAGGATTTCTTGTTTCCAAAGGTGCAGTAATGTGATAACTGATAAGAGACAACAGGTTGCGTAACTTGCAGTTGAAATTTTTTATCCAACAAAGGAAACAAGTACAGCATAGCAGAATACAAAATAAATCAATTTGATCACAACATTGTCCCAGTCAACGCATCAAAGCAGAATACTGTTGACGCAAGAGCAAAGCAGTTGCGGAATCGGAAATATTATCTTAAGAGATGAGCTTGTCAACTCCAACAGTGCAGTATTATAAAACGACCACAACAAAAATGAGAACACAAAAAATAACTAGAAAATGTAAGCCTTGATCGTTGGTACCTTCAACTTATAAAAATTCAAACTTTATCTGCATCCCACTAGAATTTCATGAATTTTGACAACACGAAACACAAGTTTCTAATCAAATAGAGCTTCTGGGTTTTGAGTCATTGAACCCGCCAAGAATGGCAGACAATAAAAACTCGAAGCTCCATGGCGAAATGTAGGAGAACCCTTAAGCTCAAAAGTTTGACAAAGGCAGTAATCAATGATAAAGTTTGACAAACAGCTTCCATAACCAACAAGATCACCGTTGGATACATACCACCCCAATATATAGCACCCAAAAATAAATGATAAAAGCTCCATCCACGACCAACACAGCGTGACATTGAGAGGTCACCATTATTATGATGATATTACTTCCTTCCAGACCAAGCATACTCCATTGACGCCGATACCCAGAACTAAAGAATCTGTAATGTAATGTGTGAAGGCACCAATCCCACTAGTTGCTGCTTAGCCCACCTTCTAGCCGCATTTGTGACCTCAGCTTCCACAGTGAGTGTCTCAAGATCGCAAGACCAATTTTCTCCACAATGTTCAACCTCTTTAAAACATGGATCAACAATTATCTTCTTGAGAGAAACAGCACTTTCAAGAAAGTACTTGACTAGGTCCAATTCAATTGAACGGCCTCGATATCCAATTATCTCAACCACTCTAAGATGTTGAACTGGGTAATATACAACATTCTCTGGCTCTCTGTTGGTCCTTACTGCAGATGAGTATCCTGGCTGCAGAAACAAAAGGTGATCATTTAGCAACCCTAAGTGTGATAAACCAGCTGACTTCAATAGTACCACAGGAGTTACAATAGCAAGATGTTTAAAGGATAGAAAATACAATTTACATACAATACCTTTATTACAAACTTCTCCAAGTTTGGTGATGCCCTAAAGAATGAAGTAAGTCCAAGCATGCTCTCTTTAAAAAGTAATAGAAACTTTAGAGATAGCTGCTTCAGTGCAGGTAGCTGAGGTAGTTTTACATCAAACTGGATATAAGTAAAGTTTCTGTCAATATCATAAAGTAATACTCACTGTTCCAAAAAAATAATTCACATTGTAATTTGTGAATTAGTCAAAATGTGCTATATGAAGGCACCAATTACAACAGGAGCTGCTTTTTGTAACGCAGAGGCTATAATGACTAATAAATGATAAAAATTAAAAGTAAGAAGATTTAGTAACATATGGATTTATTATTATTTGTTTTTCTTTGAAATTTATATCTATGATGAAAATTTCATTTTCAATTTTCCTTATTGTAATCAAAAGTTCAGGTTCCTCAAACTGAAAAACTAAAGATTTAAAAAGTAATCATCAATCTTTGACTTCATCACACTAACTACCTTTTCTTCATTCCATGATTTTATTTTCTTACTGACAAGAAAAACATTTGAATAAAGTATTAATTTTTATTAATATTTTTCCTTTTTTTTTTTTTTTTGATGATACTGAGAATCACTGGTACTTAAATCCATATCCTGCAAATCACATAACCACCTCCACTAGCACCAGGTGGCAGATTCAAGTGAAACATTGGATACTAACACATTTAATGATAAATAGTAACTTATTAATATGTTGCCGTCCAACAGTTTAAATTCAAAGAGGTTTTTCGTAACTCTGAATTCACAGCATAACTACGCAAACAAATTCCAATAACACAATGAGTAAGATGCATACCTCTCTAGCTTGATTAGGATCTAGACATAAGAAAAGAACCACGAGCTTTGAAAAGTAGCATGAAAACTGGCAAACAAAATCCTTGACGACGTAGCTACAAGAGAGGATGCCAATATGCACAAGCTTCGGAACGTTCTTAAGCACTAGTGCTCTATGCCTCCCAATCTTAAGCGAGATAAGATTAACATCACTTATAATGACGGTATTTAAGGGGCAGAAGTTAATTTCCAAGTGTTGTAATGCAATAGATGGCCCACAAACTTTCAAAGATCTTAAATGACCTGAGGCATGCACACCCAAACTTTCAAGATTATTGCAATTGTGCAGAAGGAATTCAACAGTAACCCCAGAAACTAAGACCCGTTTCAAAATCAATTCTTTGAGAGAATTCCAACTTCTCTGCGCAAAAATGGTAGGATTAAAAACATAACTCTCGTGGATACGGATTGTGTCCCAATGTCGGCCGTGGGTTGACAGGTTATAAATTGGGCCATGGTGTGAAAGGTTTATTTCAAGCTGTTGAACTCTCTTATCAAAGGCATGTACAAGCCACTTATTCAATTCCGAATGAAAGGAATCATGCAAATCGCAATAAATTCTGAACTTATTCAAAATCGGGATCTGATGGGATTGTAACACCTTATTTACCCAGTTAACAAACTTGGGTCTTTCCCTTATTATTCGGTCCAAGTAATCCTCCCCAGTTACCATCTCGCATAATGTAGTGAATGCGTTAAAATCAAGATCAGGAACATATTTCCACACATGCTTCCATCTTTTCGACAAAATACTTGTTCTGCCAGCTTCTTTGAGTGTTAGAAACGATAGAATAAGACTAAGGATTTCATCTGGAAGCTCACTAATCCGATCTTCAAGTATATGCTGTTGTTTAAAGAATGATAACAACAGAAGAAATCAGAAAATGAAAGTGAACTAATTGCACATGAGATTGAGATACGAGAAACAGAAATCAGTAAAATCACAATTGCAGCTACATCAAATCCCAATTTCGACTGAAATCTGAAATAACATCAACAGCGTGACACTAAAAATATTCTTCTTCAAAGATCGAAATACACATCAATTGCATAGCCAGGTGACATACTTCTGTTTAAAGAATGATACCTATGAAGTAAATAAAAAAAATGAAAGTGAACAAATTGCAATGAGATTGAGATATATGACACGAAAAAATTAGTAAAATCACAATTGCGGCTACATCAGATCCCACTTGCTCCTGAAATCTGAAATAACATGAACAATGTGACAATAAAAGTATTCTCCAAGATAGAAATACACCATCAATTGCCTAGCAAGGTGGCATATAATACACATTCCTACTTTAATCTCGCAATCACAAACCCTATCATCAGCGGCATAGCAAACTTTCTCTGGCCCAAAAGAAGAATACTCGAACCAATGACACAACAACAATTTGACATAAATAATTTTGGTCAGAGCAACTAAATCAGTGAAAAAGAACGACCGACACAACTTGAACACAGTTGATGAAGTGAAGTAGAAAATGGTTGGACCAAACGGTGAAAAGAGGATCACATGTCTTAAAATTAAAATTCAGAATTCAAGAATGATAATGAAAACTTCAGATGGGCATATCTTTGAAACTTTTATCCTGCTAAACCAATTGAAGATATTACTGATATCTTTTGAAAATTTAATTAATGAACTGTTGTAAAAAAGTCTTAAGCTTTGGTTAAAGTTGAAGCGGATCATTATCTAAAGTGGGTAAGGAAAAGAAGTGTCGTGGAAAGACACATTTTGGTAAAATGCTAATAGCTTGTGATAGAAACTCTAATGATGTGATTCAAGATGCTAAAGAAATCTAAAAGAAAGGTGGAAATTTTATGCAGAACACTTTTCCAAATTTGCAAGTGAAGACCTTCAAAGCTAGGTGAACAAATAGACTAACATTGGATTGGGGTGGGGGTCCCGCGGAATGAGTTCGATTCAACCAATCAGTTCAACTAGCACATGAAATGGTGCAGGAAGTGTTCAACTCATGTAGGGTTTCAGGATAGCTAGAATCATCTTAGAATTAAGTATGTTTTTTACTTTAGTTTCCTGTTTAAAGCATTCACTTTAGTTATCAGTCATTAGGTTTAGGAAATTAATAAGCTTTAAGAATAATCAGACCTCGAAGTTTTGCAGCCTTGTGATTGACATTTGATTAATGTAAAAAATCAGCTTTTTTTTTTTTTTTTTATAGCTTTCAAATACTGTCTTCTAATAGACAGCTAAGGTTTGTTCTGCTCATTCCTATAGTTTGATTCAGTCCCTTGTTTCCCACCGCAAACCAACAAGGAGGATTCAAAATGCGAGCAAATCAGTCCAAAAATTGACCTTTTCAGCTGTCTACCACACATTGAATCCTATGACCATCAATCAACTTGCAGAGTAACTCAAGCAAAAAGCCCAAAGTTCACAATAACGACAGCTAAAAATAAGCTAAAAGAGGACCAAATTGTACCGCAAAGTAGAAACGTGATATATAACATAGTGTTCTGCCACAGATTTACCATCGGACACTTATCTAAAACTACCCAGCGCTGTTCAATCACCCCTAGATGGCCACAAGCAGAATCCCGAATCAATACCAAAATAATAACAATAAAAAAAAAAAACCTTTTAAATTCAGAAAACCACTAATCATTCGAGAACAACAAACCCACAGGAAAAAAAAAAAAAACGGAAGAAAGGGCCTAACCTCGGGAGGAGGAGGATTTGTCTTAACGGTGCCGTCAAGATTCGGGTCAAGTATGCGGAGCCTGGTCCGCAACAACAACCAACTCAGAGCAGCACTGGAAGCAAACAGGACAAGTTCGTGAAAGAACTTAGAGGACGAGTTCTCGCAAGAACTTGTTCGTCTCCTGTGAACTGCCGTCATTCTAAAATAAACTCTGCCAATACCACTGTTCCTCCGATGATGGCTATTATTTTGGGGTAACAATTATTCACCTAAAAAAAGAGAAGAAAAAAATTCTTTGTGATGATTTACATAATAATAAAGCATGCCGTTCGCGCGAAATATGTGTGAGTGTGTGTGACTGGGTGGCTGAGGCGATGGGCAATTGGGCATTTTTTTGAATAACCATAGTAATAATTTATATTAAGTGAAAAGATAAAACAAAGTTACAACTGCCTAACCGGAAAAATTGGCTAATCTATGCTAAGCTTTACATACGTTGTCAATTCTACTTTATTATTTTTTGATTAGTCAACATTACTCAAAACTATCCAATCGTTAGCCGATTTTGTCCAATTTACTCTTTTCCGTTTAAATTAACGGAATTCTATTTATTTTAATTATAAAAATACCCTAATAATTTTAAAAATTATAAAAATAACCTCAAAAATTTATAAAAATAACAAAACAGTCTCTTTTCAGTTTTTGTTTAATTTTTTTGTTTTTTTATTTCTTTTAATATTTTCAGAACTATAAAAATATACTATATGATCTTTTAAAAAAACTATTTATTTTTAAACTCTAATGTACAAATTTATAATTTTATATTTGTAAGTCATGTTTAATTTACATAAACATATTATTTTTTTAATAATATAATTTAACGGTAATGATATTATTTTTTTAATCCATTTTTTTTCAATCTAAAGAATAAGATTATTTAACTAAAATTAATTTTGCACAAAAAAATAACAGATTTAGTATAGATTAAAAAAGAAGTTATTGGTATACTTTAATGTATTACAATTTAATTCAACAGACTTTAGATTATATCATAAAATTTTAAAAATAATTGAAACTAAAATATAAATTTTTCTGTAAAAGGCCAAGTACGAAAAGAAAGTTAAAAAAAAAAAAAAACACCTATTCATTTCCACATTGGCCCAACACAAGAATATAGTGTCATGGTATTTACAAAAATGGTACAAAATATTTTATAAAAAATATTTATATTTATCATTGCGAGGGTTTACCATTTTGCGATAATTTTTTGAGATATTAATATATCTAACTTTAGCAGAAAATTATTTTTTTTAAAAAAAAATAATATAAATGACGGTATCCAAGGGGCAGAAGTTAATTTCCAAGTGTTGTAATGCAATAGATGGACCACAAACTTTCAAAGATGTTAAGTCATCTGAGGCATGCACACCCAAACTTTCAAGATTTATTGCAATTGTGCAGAAGGAATTCAACAACACCCCCAGAAACTAAGGGTGTGTTCGGCTACATGTTTTTGGGATTCAATTGGCATTAGAATATTTTGGGATTCAATTGGCATTTAAAATATTCTAATTCAATGCCAATTTATCCGTTCGGCAAAATCATGGAATTGGTTACAAATTCAATTGGGATTCCAAATTCTCTATTCGTATAGTTTAGTAATTGGGTTGGTTTTGGCTTTTGCTATTTTTTACAAAAATTTAAAAAAAAAAGAAAAAATTAATTTATTTTGAAATTATTTCAACTTTTAACTTTTGTCATGTTAAATAGTATCATTTCTAGAATAATATATTTTGTTATCATATTCAAGGTGACAAAGAGGAAACTCTTTAAATTTTTATTTTTTAAATTTATCAATTATTTATATATGCATTATAATGATCAATTTAGGTAGTTCCAACACTGTTACATTAACATAAATATAAAAATTACAAAAATTGGTTATGTATGTAATAATTAATTTAGTTCAAGTGATTGTTTTGAAACCAAAGAAATTAAACTGATTATAAAATGAAAGGGCGGTATTCACCCAATTTTATATATAATGTAACAACCACCTAAACATTTTATATATTCTTATCAAACATAGAATTTGGTGACAATATTACTCCAACCAATGTTCTTACCACTAAAACTAAAATACTACACAACGTTAAAGTCTTATACAAACAATAGAACTTAAAACTAATAGTTTTATTGAACATAAATTAACAAGACCATTTCATCTAAGCCTGTTTTGATAATCAATAAACATAGCTTGAGCTAATGCATCCCTAAATCTAGTCCACTCATGTGTAGATTGCACAAGTGTAATGCGATCAGAGTCTTCAACATTCACACCACCTTGCATGTTTGGCTGATTCTGTTCTTCCTCATTCTGATCATCACCATCTGGATTAACTCGGTTAAGAATCTCATGATCAACTTCTTCCAGTAATGGATCATTAGGTTCTTCTACTCGAATAAGATTGTGAAGGATAACACAAGCATTGATAATCTTCATAGTTGTTTTGACATCATAAAAAGACGCTTCTCTCAAAATTTTCCATCGTTATTTCAACACACCAAAAGCTCTCTCAATCACATTTCTAGCAGTTGCATGACGGAGGTTATATAACTCCTTAGGAGTTTGTGGATTATTACCTTGGGCTGACCATTCATTGAGATGATATCTAGTTCCTCTATAAGGCGCAAGAAAACCAGGACCATTAGTATAACCCGCATCCACCAAAAAATATTTGCCTACAAAATCAAATGGAAACATTCTTGTTAGTACTTTATACACCTTAAAAAACTAATGCACAAAGAAACAAAAAAAATATATATTGAGCAACAGAATTGGCTAATTACCACATACCTTTAGGAACTATAAAGGGGTCTTTTCTAGTCAAAGAATCTCGCAACACTCTACTATCAGCCTGCAGATCCCTCCCATCCCGGTAAAGCATAAGTGAACCTTAGGTCACGAGAACATACCGCCAAGACATTTGTTGTGATGTTGCCTTTCCGATTTCTATACCTTCCTTGATCTCTCAATGGAACAACGAGTTCAACATGGGTCCCATCTATTGCTCCAAGACAGTTCTACCATAATAAAAGCATTAATTAATTATTAAAATTTTTAGACTATAATTTCCAAAATAATCAACAAATAGATATAATATTTACCTCAAACCAGTCCCATTTTTCATCCTCAAATCCTTCCATTTCTGTTGTAGGTTGCACCACATATTGCCTCCCCAGTTTTAGTACAGCATGTAGGACCATATTGAAGTATCGACTAACAGTATCCCCTGATCTAATGAAATCAAAACTGACTTTGCGGTTTGTCAGATTAAAAGAGAGGACATAAAGAAACATTGCAACTACTTCTTCAACCGTGACATGGTTTGAATCTTTCATCCCCAACTCCTTTAACTTGGTACATAAAACAGAAAAACAATGTTTATTGAGACGGAGTTGCTCCCTACAAACCCTATCATTTCCATAATATAGACGCCTTAGATAGATTTCTCGTGCTATGCTGTAATCAATACTTGGTTCTTTCACCCTATGTCTTTCATGCCATTGTGAAGCCTGGGAAGCAAATTCCAACATACGAAAGATAACATATGTCTTCCTTACTGTACTTGATGAGCTCTCATCATCACTTTCACCATCAGATAGGGACAAGGATGGATCCATGAACTGAATTCAAATAATATCAAAACTAATTAAAACTGAAAAAAATACTTCAAAGGATAACACATGATAAAGACAAATTATGACAAGCAAAGATACACTTAATATTTCTTGTACCGCGAAGTTGACAACACCCAAAAGTGCATTAAGACAATGACACTAAATCATGACCACTATTAGACAGCTTTCATTAGATCTTTGAATCAAAAGTCAGAAGAATTTAGAATACACATCACAAACATGAAATTTCCAGCATTTGCTCATTATATTCTCCAGACATAGATTTACCAATGAGGAATGCTTTTTAGAAAAAACCATCATTTGGGTAACTTTATGATGCGCACTCAACCAGACAGAGTCCACCAGTGTAGTAGATACACATCAAACACTAGAATAATCAACCTTGAAAATGTAGATATGCCTGATAACTTCTACTAATGAAGACAAATATTCAACAATCTAGCTTAAGAAGCTTAAAACTAATGCTCATTAGAGTTAAAAAAAAGTAACCAGAAGCAGAGATAGAAAAAAAAAAAAACCCTTAGATATCTATTTTGATAAGCAAGAAAAGTATCTAATGATTTACCACACTACTACACTTTCTAAGGAACCTCCATGCCTCAAAGATTCTAGCATAGTTCAGTTAGTTCACAGATGTACAAAATCAGCGGCTCTCCATAATAAAAAGGCATCTACAATCAGTGAACTAACAACATATCACTAATATGTACGAGCCATAATGGCAGTCCACGCCAACACCATAACTGCTGCAGCAAGGTAAAATCATCCACACAAGGAAACAACACTTAAATAAAACATAATGATAATCTCACTGAAATCACCCGGCAGATAACTCAGGGAATGACGAGGCATAAACGAAAGCATAAAACCGGCTACAATCCCCCCCAAAACAAAAATGGAACAGTATCAACACTTGAACGTTTTCATCTATGCCACATCATTGCTTGAGCAGGTTTATCGATAATCTGTCGGTGAAATTTCAGTGAGGAAACTATACAACCACAGAGATCCATTTCACTTCATTAGGCAATCAAGGAAGCTTTCGCCATGAATAATTTTGAGGAAAATGCTTTTTGCACCTTTTTCTCTTTTAGAATTTGATGCACGTCTGTGATTGTTAAATATGATTAACACCACCAAAGGTTCAAATCATTTAAATTTGACTAAGGGCCGAGTACGAGATGCAAATTGCAAGATAAGAGAAGCAAGAGCTGCGAATCCTATCATTACTTAGAGAGGAAACTTAAGAAGTTAACGAACTTACTAGCCCAGATGCGGCTTTAGCTAGTAACCACTTTGACAATTTCTTAAAAGAAGATTTCTTCACGTCTCTTGTGACACATGGAGGTGCAAGGTAGCACGTGACCGACCTATAAATAGCACAAAACAACAAAAAACAAATTTATCACATTAGGATATGATAATCCTGTTTGGTTACTCAATATTCCTAGTACTGAAGACAAATAAAATATTCTCCTTCCACCTTCAATTCCAGCAAAATATACAGAACGCAAGAACTAAAGTCGAAAACTGAATCAAGAGAGCCGAAACATGACAGATCTAAAGAACCCATGAACAATTTTATTAACTAAGAATAAGAATCAAGGGATCCACATACAAAGATTCATATTCAAATGGGAAGCTAAAGAGGAGTTAAACAAAAATTAGGCAGAAAAGGTGGCTAGGAAAGTAAACCGAAACAAAAACAAAAATGATGAATCAACCACTTGAAATAGGAAGAAAAGAAAACCATCGATTAGCTATTACTACTGGAGATTCAATCTTACATCCATTTACCAAAATCAGAAGAACATGATTGATTTTAAAATAAGAAAAAGCGAAAACGAACCATAAAAAGATTACTCTTTTTCGCTTCTTAATAGAACCAAGCTAATCCTTGTAGAAAAAGCGAAGACCAAATGACTCCTACATATTCATAACAAATTTGTTTGGCTTCTACTTGAAAATAGTTCTAAGGATCTAAGTCATACTTCATAAAGCTCTTTACAACTTATCATTCACATAAGCCACACAACAACACAATTCAATTTTGCAGCTATCAAAGGTTAAATAGGTGAGAATCAGAACATGAATCGTAGATTAAAGTTAGGAAGTAAATATAAAGTAAAGATTCCATGTTGATAATCATTTAACAGAGCATTTAACAGGGCAGAGTATGAAACAGGGCACCAACTGAGAGAAAATAGAACCAAAAAACACCAAGAAAGCCAAGATTTTGTCAAGATATTATCTAATTCTACTCCAAACGAAAAAAACCTCAATAACCTGACAATGCTTTCTCCATTTTATCAAAACTGTCCCACTAACTTATAATGATCAATGCCTACTTCCAATTCTAAAACAGAACCAATAGCATTTCTTCAAACAGTTGATGATCACTTCTCTTCCACTAATAACCCAAGGTTTGATTACCAAAGCTAAAGAGTGCAAGATCAAAGGAATAAATTTCTGCCCAGCCCATCATTTTTTACTTCACAAAATCATTGATTGAACGCTACAAACAATCAAGTCTTGAATCCAAAAGCCCAGAAAAAGAATGAAATGTCACACCGACATTAGTCTTCAAAGAATGTCATGAAACAGTGATGAAGATAATGAAGAATTTGCTACGAAATTGACAACTTTCTGAAGTGAAGTTTCAGTCGAAATTTTACCGTAACGATCAAGGAACTAATGTTGATTCCTGGACAAGAACTCTGCTTCGGTATTACAAGATGAATTCTTGGATTGAGAAGAATCGAGTAATGAATTTAGCAAGTTCTCCAATAGCCAAACGACCTACACAAGATAAAGATTGACAAAATGAAATGTGTTGTATACTGAAATTATAAGATTCGCTCTATGCCAGTTCAAACTCCTAGAGCCAGTCTTCAATGTGACCTCCCAAAGTTTCACACAACAAATCTCCCAAAGCAAACCCAGTTGGAGTTTGACTTAATAAACAAAACCCACAAAAAATTCAGTCAGATCCATGCTGAAATAAGAACGATTTGATTGTAAATCCAAGCATCAGAAGAAGATCATGATGAATTGATGAGCAGCCAACCCTATCTACCCAAAAGGAAGAAAAAGATCAGAATAAAAAGATTACCAGGAAACCGTGTCGCCGCCTCCTTCGTCGTCGCCGTCGCCGTCGTCGTGGCAAATTTGTTACGATTACTGGAGTCGCCGGAGATTGTACAGATTAATGGAGCAGAAAGAGTGGAGGAGGAAGAGTGACGGGAACACGAGAGTGAGGGAAAAAAAAGGCCCGATACATCAAAAAGCTAATAAAAGACCCGAACCCGATTTGTAATTAAAAAAACCCGGAAACGACCCGCGCACATACTCAACTCCATCAGAATTTGGAATCCCAAATAATAACTTCAAGCCCGGAATTAAAATTGTGGCATTGGAAGCCTTTTGGCATTGGACTTATGCCAATGCCATCTTATTTTTTGGTAGCCGAACACCGGATTTGGCATTGGGGCCCAAATTCCAAATCCAAGCCCCCAATGCCATGCAAACGAACAGAGCCTAAGACACGTTTCAAAATCAATTCTTTGAGAGAATTCCAACTTCTCTGCGCAAAAATGGTTGGAGAAAAAACATAACTCTCATGAATAGGGATTTTATCCCAATTTGGGCCGTGGGTTGACAGGTTATAAATTGGGCCATGGTGTGAAAGGTTTATTTCAAGCTGTTGAATTCTCTTATCAAAGGCATGTAGAAGCCACTTATTCAATTCCGAATGGAAGGAATCATGCAAATCGCAATAAATTCTGAACTTATTCAAAATCGGGGTCTGATGGAATTGTAACACCTTATTTACCCAGTTAACAAACTTGGGTCTTTCCCTTATTATTCGGTCCAAGTAATCCTCCCCAGTTACCATCTCGCATAATGTAGTGAATGCGTTAAAATCAAGATCAGGAACATATTTCCACACATGTTTCCATCTTTTCGATAAAATACTTGTTCTGCCAGCTTCTTTGAGCGTTAGAAACGATAGAATAAGACTAAGGATTTCATCTGGAAGCTCACTAATCTGATCTTCAAGTATATGCTGTTGTTTAAAGAATGATAACAACAGAAGAAATCAGAAAATGAAAGTGAACTAATTGCACATGAGATTGAGATACGAGAAACAGAAATCAGTAAAATCACAATTGTAGCTACATCAAATCCCAATTTCGACTGAAATCTGAAATAACATCAATAGCGTGACACTAAAAATATTCTTCAAAGATCGAAATACACATCAATTGCATAGCCAGGTGACATACTTCTGTTTAAAGAATGATAATTATGAAGTAAATAAAAAAAATGAAAGTGAACAAATTGCAATGAGATTGAGATATATGACACGAAAAAATTAGTAAAATCACAATTGCGGCTACATCAGATCCCACTTGCTCCTGAAATCTGAAATAACATGAACAATGTAACAATAAAAGTATTCTCCAAGATAGAAATACACCATGAATTGCCTAGCAAGGTGACATATAATACACATTCCTACTTTAATCTCGCAATCACGAACCCTATCATCAGGGGCATAGCAAACTTTCTCTGGCCCAAAAGAAAGCACTGATTGCTTGTCGAGAAGAATACTTGAACCAATGACACAACAACAATTTGACATAAATAATTTTGGTTAGAGAAACTTAATAAGTGAAAAGGAGTGACCGACACAACTTGAACACAGTTGATAAAGTGAAGTAGGAAATTGGTTGGACCAAACGGTGAAAAGAAGTACAAGTCATTGGTCAATTTTACAATTAAAATTCAGATTTCAAGAATGATCAATGAAAACTTCAGATGGGCATATCTTTGAAATCTTTATCGTGCGAAACCAATTGAAGATATTACTGGTATCTTTCCAAAATTTAATTAATGGACTGTTGTAAAAAAGTCTTAAACTTTGGTCAAAATTGAAGCAGATCATTATCTAAAGTGAGGAAGAAAAAGAAGTGTCGTGAAAAAGACACATTTTGGTAAAATGCTCATAGCTTGTGATAGAAACGTTAATGATTCAAGATGCTAAAGAAATCTAAAAGAAAGCTGAAAATTTTATGCAAAACACTTTTCCAAATTCGCAACTGAAGACCTTCAAGAATGGTGAACATTGACTAATCTGGGGAAAAATGAGTTAGATTCATCCAATCAGCGCATGAAATGATGCAGGAGGTTGCAGCTCATGTTGGGTTTCAGGAATAGCCAGAATCATCTTAGAATTAAGTATGTTTTTATTTTAGTTTCCTATTTTAAGCATTTACGATAGTTTTCAGTCATTAGTTTTTGGAAATTCAAAAGCTTTAGGAATAATCAGACCTCTATAAGTTTTCCAGCCTTCATTCTATGGGAAATTTGAAAAACACGAAATAAGTGTTTTTTTGAAGGTACTTTGTTTTCTTTTGACTCAATAACTCATGGAATTTGCACTAACGTTTCAATGATTTTGAGTATTCATGAGTTACGAGCAAGAACTCAGGATGAAGTACATGAGCTAGAGGAAATTTTTCAAGTTAAAGTCAGAAGAAGGAAAGAGAAAAAAGTCACTTCACTATGTTGGATACCACCGGAACCTGGAGAGATCATTATTAACACTGATGGGTCAGCATTAGGAAGTCTAGGAGAATCGGGATGGGGTTTTGTGGCTCGAGGAGAACAAGGCATTTTCATCAAAGCAATAAGCAAACATATGGGAGAATCTACCAGCCTCTCAGCAGAAAAGAAATAAAGGGTATTCTACAAGGACTGAAATGGGCAGAAGGAGAAGGATATCACAAGGTAAAGATTCAAACGGACAGTAAATTAGTGGTTCAATTGTTACACAATGGCAAGGAATTTCCCTGGAAGCACTATAGATCATTGTAGCAGATACAAGGTATTTTACAACGCACTGGATTTCAAGTGCATCATATATTCAGAGAGATCAATGTTTTAGCAGATGGCCTGTCAAAGCAAGCATCGAGAGGACAATCAATAAAACATGACAGTGCAGCCAGCCTTCCTACCTCCTTGCGAGATATTTTATACTTGGACCAAAGTTCTTTTTCATATATTCGTGTTAGGTAGCTAGGATAGATTAGAGAGCTGTCATGGGATTTTTAGAAGATCTTTGTGAGACGGTCTCGTAGTTTAATTGATTGAAACTAGGAAACTGCTATGGGATTCTTGTATGATTTTGTAAAGCAGTTTTTTAGGAATTCTTCATTAGTCCATAAAAACAGAACTGTCAAGAGTTTTTAGGGAACTCATTGTAAGACATTTCTTAGCTTAACTTAATTAGAAACCATCATGGGATTTTTAGAAAATCTTTGTAAGACGGTTTCCTCAATATGGGTAAGTTTTAAGCACTGCCTATGTACTTTTTTCTTCTAATTAATAAAATCGGGGATGCCCGCCAAGTACCGCAAAAAGTTTTGCAGCCTTGCTATTGTCGCTTGATTAATGTAATTTCAGATTTTTTCTTTTTAAGCTTTAATGTAATTTCAGATTTTTTCTTTTCAAGTTTTCAAAGACTGTCTTCTAATAGAGAGCTAGCGATTGTTCAGCTCATTCCTATAGTTCGATCTAGTCCCTTGTTTCCCACCGCAAACCAACAAGGAGGATTCAAAATGCGAGCAAATCTGTCCAAAATTAACCCATTCGACAGTCTAGCAAACAATGAATCCTATGACTATCAAATAACCTAGTCAAAGTTCAGAATAGCCACAGCTAAAGTAAGCTAAAAAGACCATTTGTTATGTGTGTGATATAACCTAGTGTTCTGCGATAAACTTCCCAGTGCTGTTCAATCACAGCTATATCATATCCCTAGATGGCCACAGGCAGAACCCCGAAATCTCAATACAGAAACATTATAAATAATACTGATAATAAGCAAAAAAGAAAAAAAAACTTTCAAATTCACATAACTACAAATCATTCGAGAACAACGAACCCACAAAAAAAGGGGGTCTAACCTGGTGAAGAGGAGGTTTGGTCTTAACGGTGCCATCAAGATTGGGGTCAAGTATCCGTATCCTGGTCCGCAACAACAACCAACTCAGAGCAGCGCTGGATGCAAATAGAACAAGTTCCTGAAAGAACTTAAGGATGAGTTCTTGCAAGAACTTGTTCGTCTCCTGTGAATTGCCTTCATTCTTAAATAAACTCTGCCAATACCACTGTTCCTCTGATGATGGCCTTTTTTTTGGGGTAACAATTATTTACCTAAAAAGAGAAAAGAAAAAAATTACGTAGTAATTAAGCATGCCGTTATGACCTTATTCGATTATTACCGGAAGGAAAAAGGAACTGGGCAGAAGGAAAAATAGAGAAGCGAGATTTCCCAATTCGTCATCACAATTACTAACCTTAAAAAAAAAAGAAAAGAAAAAGAATCTTGTGATTTTTTAGTAATAAATAACAAAGCATGCCCTTATTCGTATGCAGGAAGGAAAAGGAACTGGGCGAGAAAAAAGTAAAAACTATAGAAAGAAGCGAGAGTTCGCGATTCATCTTGTTATATCATCAACAAAGATGGAAGGGAAAGTATTGAGAAAAAGCATTGACTTTCCAGGAAAATGTCTCTCTCTAGTCTCTCTCTCTAGGAAAACTCTCCCAACTCAGATGTCGTCAGCTCTTGCAAACCCAGCCCCCATCGCCGGCCCACCGTCCCCCTCTGATGACAGAACCCCTAAGGAACCTTGCTGCAAGGAGCAGGAAACCAGACCTCCCCAATCCCTACCACCCGAAAACCCACCCATAACCCCCTTGCAACCCAATCCTCATATGGACCCACCCAAACCCCCATCCAATGAATCGGAACCGACCCCCCACCGCCACCCCAACCAATGAGCTTTAGGGACAAAATTCTCCAAGGGAAAAGGTGGATGGAGAAGCCAATGTTCGAGGAAGACCATGAAATTCCCATGAAATTCTAATGGAGGAGGGCGATCTCATTTTCGTATCTGAATGGCCCAATTCCAAAAGCCATAATTTCAGAAAAAGTGGAGGAGCAGGTGTCCTTACCATGGGAAAACGTCCTAATTGTCAAACCAATGGGGCTATCTCTGACTCTTAGCCAGATCCGTTCTCGCCTCTATACCCTTTGGTATAACACAGATGGCTTCGCAGTCATGGATATCGAAAGGGACTACGTTATGGTGAAGTTTTGGAATGAGAAGGATGCCAAGAGTATTTTACAGTCCGGCCCATGGATGTTGTCGAATTCATATCTGCATGTCCAGAAGTGGGACAGGTCATTTGATGCCGTTACCAACAAAATCAAGAGAATGGTAGTCTGGATAAGATTACCAGGGTTGCCGGTCCACTACTAAAACCAATCATTCCTTCACCGACTGGGTCGCCTGATGGGTAAGGTATTCATATCGACCACCAAACTGCAGCCAAGTCAAGGGGGAAGTTTGCCCGGAAGGCCATTGAGATTGATATGGAGAAGCCGCTCTGCACCCAATTCGAGATGAAAGGCAAAATACAACATGTTGAATATGAGAATATGCCGTTCCTTTGCCAAACCTGTTGTATGATTGGCCACTCGACTGGTAAATGTGTGAATGCCCAAGAAGAGCAGAGAGCAGATGAGGTGAGAAGGGTCAAAGGAAAAAAACCGGCGGAGACCGAGGGAGGAGCAACCGCCGGCCCTTCTAAGCAGTCGGATTGGGTGGAGGTCACAAAGAGAGGGAAGCCCTCAAACCAACAGGCAAAGACCACAACACACTATCCTAGGGAGGGAATAATCAGCGGATCCCGCTTTTCGAGCCTCTAAGATCTAGACCAAGAAAACGCCGAACTGCCACCGATTCCTAGGAATGTCGAAAAAGAGAAAACAGTAGAGGATGGATCCACACCGTCGTCAAAGATACGCCCGAGGAATGGACGCTCACATGAACGGTGGACCCACTCAACTGGTCGATTGACAACACCAGTCAGGGAGGAGACAGACGGGTGCCTATCAACCAACCCACCAACACCTACACTTGAAAACCACCAGCCCAAAATAGTGTTAACCCAAACCCAGGGAGCCCAAACACGAAAGTCCACTAGAAAGAACACCCAGAAATTGCTAGCCCCAGAAATTGAAATCCCAACCACCCAGAAGGACAATGAAAACCCAATAACCCCCCCTGAAGCCCTAGTCATCAAAGAGCCCACCTTAGCCTACAAAATATACCCGGCCCCTACCACACTAGACTCTCTAAAACATCAAGCCATATCCATACAAGTGGAACCCAAACCTAGCCTCTCATCCCATAAACCAACCCAAGACCCAGCCCAATCAGGCACCCTCAAGTTGCCACCGAAAATTGACCAAATCAGTGCAGAGATCCCTTTTGATATTCCACAAGAACCTGACAAAGTAGAAGTTCAGTCGCAGGAGACACCATCAACAGGGAGCATACTGGGCTTAGAAGACATAGTACTACAAGAAGGACAATGTTGAGCAATGGAAGAGGACACCAAAGCTTCTCCGGTGGTCCAACGTTCGCTCTAAGAAGTATCCTTCCTCCTTTTTTAATTATCCTATGAATATAAGTCTAAATATAATGTCATGGAATATACAAGGGGCTGGCTCCAAGGAGGTGCATGGTGCGTTTAAGGAACTCAAAAATAGATTCCAACCAGATGTAGTAGCTATACTGGAACCAAGAATAACTGGAGGGAAGGCTGATTATTTTGTCAAGCGAAGCCGCTTTGATCGCTCATTTAGAATTGAGGCGGATGGCTTCTTCGGAGGTATATGGCTGTTATGCAAGGAAGATGTAAGGGTCACAATTTTGAAATGTCACGAGCAATTCATCCATACCCGCATTATGAAAGGGTCGGTTGAATTGTTAGTGACATTTGTATATGCGAACCCGAATCCAACACTAAGGCGACCTCTATGGGATATGTTGTCGAAACTAGGAGATAGCATTTGTGAGCCCTGGTTAATTGGGGGAGACATGAATTGCACGTTGCATGAATCTGAGCGGAAAGGAGGCTCAAGAAAACACGGTGGACGTTGTAAATTATTTGTTGATTGGGTGTTACAATGTGGCTTACACGACCTTAACATGTCTGGACCAAAATACACATGGTTGAATGGTCGGGGATTGCATAAAAAGCTCGACCGATTTCTGGCAAATGATGAGTGGATTAATCGCTTCCAACACGGATTCGTGGAAAACCTCCCCCGGTGGCAATATGATCATCACCCGATTCTGGCAAGATGCAAAGGAAACCAAACACCCCCCACCGCAGGTAAACCCTTCAAATTCCTGGCATCTTGGTTAATACATGACCAGTTTGGTGAATTTTTTAAGGAAGCCTGGAAGCCGAAGCTGGAATTTCCCAGATGCGGTGAGGCATTTTTGTACACGGGCTAAGGAGTGGAACCATACTACTTTTGGGAACATATACAACAGAAAGAGGAGGGCTCTTGCACGCCTTGCTGGGGTCATAAAATCCCGCGAAAATTATTCGAATCTGAAGCTGCAGAGGCTTGAAGTGGAATTACTAGCTGAACTGGATGAGATTGTCCAGCAAGAGGAGCTGCTCCTTATTCAAAAATCCAATCGTGACTGGACTCTCCATGGGGATAAAAATACCAAGTGGTACCACTCTTATGTCAAAAGTTGTCGCCGGAGGAATCGAGTTATCTCTCTGAAGGCCGATGATAGGAGAATGGTGTACGACCAGGAGGAGATGCGGTCGATGGCTGAGAATTTCTTAAAAAACCTGTATGTGGGCCCTCCTACCCCGCAGTCTATATACACGCTACGGAACTGCTTCCCCGCAATCCCACGCCCTACCTCGGAGGAATTGACCTTGAAACGGCCTATGACATGATCCGGTGGTATTTTATCCAGGATACCCTTCAACAGGCGGGATTCCCGGATATCCTTACCACATGAATCATGAAGTGTATCACCTCTCCTACGTTGCAAGTACAGTGGAATGGCCAAGTCTCGGAGGAATTCAAGCCGAACCGCGGAATAAGACAAGGGGACCCGATATCCCCTTATCTTTTTGTGTTATGTATTGAAAGACTCGGCCATGCCATCCACAAAGAAGTGACAGAACGGAGGTGGAGACCATTGAAGCTGGGGAGGCAAGGCATCAAACTACTGTACTTGCTCTTCGCTGACGACATTCTGCTCTTTTTAGAGGCGTCAGATAAGCAAGTACAGGTGTTACAATCAGTCTTTGATGATTTTTGCAAGGCTTCTGGGATGAGGATAAGCCAATCAAAAACCAGAATTTATTTCTTCGGCAATGTAGAGAGATAGAAAGCTCACCTGATGGCCAACCGTCTGGGCTTCACCCAAGTGAATGACTTGGGGAAGTATCTCGGCGTCCCCCTCATCCATGGTAGAGTCCGATCGGCCACATATGGTCACATCTTGGAAAATCTGAGAGCACGTCTTTCAGGGCTAAAGCCGTCTTCGCTCACCCTTGGAGGAAGAATCACAATTGTGAAATCCATCCTTAGCACACTGCCGTATTATAGTACGCAGTCCAACTTACTCCCTATGAAGATTTGCTCGGAGATTGATAGGCTTTGCAGGCACTTCGTTTAGGGGGGCGATAATGAAGCGAGAAAATTGAGCGGAGTTGGGTGGGAAGAAGCCTGCAAACCTAGGGATTTGGGGGGGTTGGGCTTGAAAAAGCCCCTTACTATGAACAAGGCTTTTGTCATGAAACTGGGATGGGGATTGGTGGACAAACTAGAGGCCTTATTGGTTAAAGCCGTCAGAGGAAAATATGGGCTCCCACATCAGTTAGGCCCAAACGACTTGAGGAAAATCAATGGATCCTCTACTTTTAATTCCATAAGGAAGGTGTGGAAGCCCATGTTGCAAGAGATGAGATGGGCGTTGCATGATGGCAGGACCATTAGATTCTGGGAAGACGCTTGGGTCATGGGCTTCAAACCCCTACGTGATCTAGCAACAAGACCCATTCCTAGGGATCAATTGGCCAAGCCTGTAGCTGAATTTTTGAATATGGATGGACAATGGGCTTGGCCTTGGTTCCAGTCACGGTTGCAATGTCGGTAGCTCTGGCAAATGTGGCGACAATGCCGCCATCGCCATTAAATGGGGAAGACCGACGATTGTGGCCAGATTCCTCTGATGGGAGTTTCTCAGTTAAATCGGCCTACCGAATTTTGGAAGAGATTCCACAACGGCCTGCCACCCCGCTATGGAAGGCCATATGAAATTGGCCGGGCCCTGAAACAGTTAAAACATGCTTATGGCTGGCCGCCAAGGAAAAATTGATGACGAACAAGGAGAGGGTCCGCCGCCAATTCACTCAATCGGCGGTATACCCAAGGTGCTACCAAGCGGAGGAATCAGTGTTACATGCCCTACGCGACTGTGCTCTATCGCGGGATATATGGCATCACTTTCTCCCACCAGAATGGCAGCTGGATTTCTTTGCGCGGGATATATGGCATCACTTTCTCCCACCAGAATGGCAGCTGGATTTCTTTGCGCGACAGGACCATCCTTTGCTCTTGACGAATCTCCTCAGGCCAAAGTGGAATTGGACATTTGGGCTGATTTTTTGGCTCACTTGGAGATGGAGGAACGACCAAGTCTTTAATGGGACAGACCGGCCCTTCCAAGTAAAATGCTTTGAAATTGCAAAGAGATTGAAAGAGATACAAGAAGCGGAGGAAGGGGAAAGAAGGCTGAGAACAATTCGGCCCATGAAAGGGGAGAGATGGATCACATGGGAGCCACCGCCACACGGATGGATCAAACTCAACACCGATGGCGCCTTCGATCCAGCTTCGGGGTTAGCAACAGCAGGGGGGTTATTGAGGGACTCCAGTGGGACATGGAATGGTGGTTTCACGGCCAACATTGGAAGAACATCCATCACGGGGGCGGAATTATGGGGTGTTTTCTACGGCTTGTAGTTAGGTTGGGAACTAGGCCACCGAAGATTATTGTTGGAAGAAGATAGTTTGGCTACCTTCCAGTTGATAACACGGATGAAACTGATCGGATCGGCGCACGATGGGATCATCATGGGAATCAAAGAACTTCTACAAAGAGACTGGAGGGTAAAACTACGGCATATATACAGAGAAAACGCCGAACTGCCGCCGATACCTAGGAATGTCGAAAAAGAGAAGACAGTAGAGGATGGATCCACACCGTCGTCAAAGATACGCCCGAGGAATGGATGCTCACGTGAACGGCGGACCCGCTCAACTGGTCGATTGACAACACCAGTCAGGGAGGAGACAGACGGGTGCCTATCAACCAACCCACCAACACCTACACCTGAAAACTACCAGCCCAAACTAGTGTTAACCCAAACCCAGGGAGCCCAAACACGAAAGTCCACTAGAAAGAACACCCAGAAACTGCTAGCCCCAGAAATTGAAATCCCAATCACCCAGAAGGACAATGAAAACCCAATAACCCCCCCCTGAAGCCCTAGTCATCAAAGAGCCCACCTTGGCCTACAAAATATACCCGGCCCCTACCACACTAGACTCTCTAAAACATCAAGCCATATCCATACAAGTGGAATCCAAACCTAGCCTCTCATCCCATGAACCAACCCATGACCCAGCCCAATCAGGCACCCTCAAGTTGCCACCGAAAATTGACCAAATCAGTGCAGAGATCCCTTTTGATATTCCACAAGAACCTGACAAAGCAGAAGTTCAGGCGCAGGAGACACCATGAACATGGAGCATTGTGGGCTTAGAAGACATAGTACTAAAAGAAGGACAATGTTGAGCAATGGAAGAGGACACCAAAGCTTCTCCGGTGGTCCAACGTTCGCTCTAAGAAGTATCCTTCCTCCTTTTTTAATTATCCTATGAATATAAGTCTAAATATAATGTCATGGAATATACAAGGGGCTGGCTCCAAGGAGGTGCATGGTGCGTTTAAGGAACTCAAAAATAGATTCCAACCAGATGTAGTAGCTATACTGGAACCAAGAATAACTGGAGGGAAGGCTGATTATTTTGTCAAGCGAAGCCGCTTTGATCGCTCATTTAGAATTGAGGCGGATGGGTTCTTCGGAGGTATATGGCTGTTATGGAAGGAAGATGTAAGGGTCACAATTTTGAAATGTCACGAGCAATTCATCCATACCCGCATTATGAAAGGGTCGGTTGAATTGTTAGTGACATTTGTATATGCGAACCCGAATCCAACACTAAGGCGACCTCTATGGATATGGTGTCAAAACTAGGAGATAGCATTTGTGAGCCCTGGTTAATTGGGGGAGACATGAATTGCACGTTGCATGAATCTGAGCAGAAAGGAGGCTCAAGAAAACACGGTGGACCGTGTAAATTATTTGTCGATTGGGTGTTACAATGTGGCTTACACGACCTTAACATGGCTGGACCAAAATACACATGGTTGAATGGTCGGGGATTGCATAAAAAGCTCGACCGATTTCTGGCAAATGATGAGTGGATTAATCGCTTCCAACACGGATTCGTGGAAAACCTCCCCCGGTGGCAATCTGATCATCACCCGATTCTGGCAAGATGCAAAGGAAACCAAACACCCCCCACCGCAGGTAAACCCTTCAAATTCCTGGCATCTTGGTTAATACATGACTAGTTTGATGAATTTTTTAAGGAAGCCTGGAACCCGAAGCTGGAATTCCTAGATGCGGTAACGCATTTTTGTACACGGGCTAAGGAGTGGAACCATACTACTTTTGGGAACATATACAACAGAAAGAGGAGGGCTCTTGCACGCCTTGCTGGGGTCATAAAATCCCGCGAAAATTATTCGAATCTGAAGCTGCAGAGGCTTGAAGTGGAATTACTAGCTGAATTGGATGAGATTGTCCAGCAAGAGGAGCTGCTCCTTATTCAAAAATCCAATCGTGACTGGACTCTCCATGGGGATAAAAATACCAAGTGGTACCACTCTTATGTCAAAAGTTGTCGCCGGAGGAATCGAGTTATCTCTCTGAAGGCCGATGATGGGAGAATGGTGTACGACCAGGAGGAGATGCGGTCGATGGCTGAGAATTTCTTAAAAAAACCTAAATGTGGGCCCTCCTACCCCGCAGTCTATATACACGCTACGGAACTGCTTCCCCGCAATCCCACGCCCTGCCTACCAAGAGATGTCAACAGAACTTTCAGAGGAGGAGGTTTTGGGAGCCATCAGAGACATGCACCCATTAAAGGCGCCTGGGATTGATGGTATCCACGCAGTCCTCTATCAGAAGAAATGGCCGATTGTGAGGGAATCTGTTGTCAGAATGGTGACGGAGATCATATATGGAAACCGACCTGTAAATGATATAAATCAGATCATGTTTGTGCTAATCCCAAAGACTAAAAAGCCGGAAACAATTAAAATTTATCGTCCGATCAGTTTGTGTTACGTGAGCTACAAGATAGTCACGAATGTCCTTGCCAATAGGATTAAAATTGCCCTTCCGGACATAATCAAGGAGGAACAGGTCAGCTTTGTCCCGGGGAGACAAATCACGGACAATATTATTCTTGCACAAGAGGCGATTCACACAATGAGGTCAAAATCGGGAGCAAAGGGAGTCATGGCCGTTAAAATTGACCTTGAAAAAGCCTATGACATGATCCGGTAGGATTTTATCCAGGATACCCTTCAACAGGCGGGATTCCCAGATATCCTTACCACAGGAATCATGAAGTGTATCACCTCTCCTACGATGCAAGTACAGTGGAATGGCCAAGTCTCGGAGGAATTCAAGCCGAACCACGGAATAAGACAAGGGGACCCGATATCCCCTTATCTCTTTGTGTTATGTATTGAAAGACTCGGCCATGCCATCCCCAAAGAAGTGACAGAACGGAGGTGGAGACCATCGAAGATGGGGAGGCAGGGCATCAAACTACCGTACTTACTCTTCGCTGACGACATTCTGCTCTTTTTAGAGGCGTCAGATAAGCAAGTACAGGTGTTACAATCAGTCTTTGATGATTTTTGCAAGGCTTCTGGGATGAGGATAAGCCAATCAAAAACCAGAATTTATTTCTCCGGTAGAGAGACAGAAAGCTCACCTGATGGCCAACCGTCTGTGCTTCACCCAAGTGAATGACTTGGGGAAGTATCTCAGCGTCCCCCTCATCCATGGTAGAGTCCGATCGGCCACATATGGTCACATCTTGGAAAATCTGAGAGCACGTCTTTCAGGGCTAAAGCCGTCTTCGCTTACCCTGGCAGGAAGAATCACAATTGTGAAATCCATCCTTAGCACACTGCCGTATTACAGTATGCAGTCCAACTTACTCCATATGAAGATTTGCTCGGAGATTGATAGGCTTTGCAGGCGCTTCGTTTGGGGGCGATAATGAAGCGAGAAAATTGAGCGGAGTTGGGTGGGAAGAAGCCTGCAAACATAGGGATTTTGCGGGGCTGGGCTTGAAAAAGCCCCTTACTATGAACAAGGCTTTTGTCATGAAACTGGGATGGGGATTGGTGGACAAACCAGAGGCCTTCTGGGTTAAAGCCGTCAAAGGAAAATATGGGCTCCCACATTAGTTAGGCCCAAACGACTTGAGGAAAGTCAATGGATCCTCTACTTTTAATTCCATAAGGGAAGGTGTGGAAGCCCATGTTACAAGAGATGAGATGGGCGTTGCATGATGGCAGGACCATTAGATTCTGGGAAGACGCTTGGGTCATGGGCTTTGACTACCTGTGGAATGCATAGAGATGAATTATAAAAGTTTGGGCTTTGGCAAACCCATTATGATCCAGAAGATAAAATTCCAAACTTTTCAGATACATGAGGGTCCTCAGAAGTATAAACCTACAAAAACAAGCTTATTGTTGGAAACAGAGAACAAAGGTTAGATGGAGCTTGGAGGGTGATCGAAACACTCATTTTTTTCCACCAGTGGGCAACACGTAGGAAGTCCGGGAATTGGATAGATAACCTACAAAACTCCAGGGGCTGTTGGATACAAGACCAATCTAGTCTGCAAACTTTAATGTTAGATCACTTCAAGGCAGTGTTCATGGAGCCTAATATGAAAGTATCAGAAGCTATAGTGCAGGCAGCGTGCTCAAGTATTGTCAATCTGATTCCAAACCAAATCACAATGGCACAGAGACCGTCCATGGAAAGAGCTTTTACTACTGAGGAAATTTGGTCTACCATCAAGGGGATGGCCCCGTGGAAGTCACCGGGTCCAGACGGCATACAAGTGGGTTTCTATAAGAAATACTGGAACCAGATTAGCTCCACGGTTTCGGATAGCCTCCTGGTCCTGAGAATCTTAAACCATGGTAAATGGCATGATGAATGGAACCAAACCAAGGTCATCTTCATCCCAAAGAACAAGAATCCACAAGTTATATGATTTTGAGTATTCATGAGTTACGAGCAAGAACTCAGGATGAAGTACATGAGCTAGAGGAAATTTTTCAAGTTAAAGTCAGAAGAAGGAAAGAGAAAAAAGTCACTTCACTATGTTGGATACCACCGGAACCTGGAGAGATCATTATCAACACTGATGGGTCAGCATTAGGAAGTCTAGGAGAATCGGGATGGGATTTTGTGGCTCGAGGAGAACAAGGCATTTTCATCAAAGCAATAAGCAAACATATGGGAGAATCTACCAGCCGCTCAGCAGAAAAGAAATAAAGGGTATTCTACAAGGACTGAAATGGGCAGAAGGAGAAGGATATCACAAGGTAAAGATTCAAACAGACAGTAAATTAGTGGTTCAATTGTTACACAATGGCAAGGAATTTCCCTGAAATCACCATAGATCATTGCAGCAGATACAAGGTATTTTACAACGCACTGGATTTCAAGTACATCATATATTCAGAGAGATCAATGTTTTAGCAGATGGCCTATCAAAGCAAGCATCAAGAGGACAATCAATAAAACATGACAGTGCAGCCAGCCTTCCTACCTCCTTGCGAGATATTTTATACTTGGACCAAAGTTCTTTCTCATATATTCGTGTTAGGTAGCTAGGATAGATTAGAGAGCTGTCATGGGATTTTTAGAAGATCTTTGTGAGACGGTCTCGTAGTTTAATTGATTGAAACTAGGAAACTGCTATGGGATTCTTGTATGATTTTGTAAAGCAGTTTTTTAGGAATTCTTCATTAGTCCATAAAAACAGAACTGTCAAGAGTTTTTAGGGAACTCATTGTAAGACATTTCTTAGCTTAACTTAATTAGAAACCGTCATGGGATTTTTAGAAAATCTTTGTAAGACGGTTTCCTCAATATGGGTAAGTTTTAAGCACTGCCTATGTACTTTTTTCTTCTAATTAATAAAATTGGGGATGCCCGCCAAGTACCGCAAAAAGTTTTGCATCCTTGCTATTGTTGCTTGATTAATGTAATTTCAGATTTTTTCTTTTTAAACTTTAATGTAATTTCAGATTTTTTCTTTTTAAGCTTTCAAAGACTGTCTTCTAATAGAGAGCTAGTGTTTGTTCAGCTCATTCCTATAGTTCGATCCAGTCCCTTGTTTCCCACCACAAACCAACAAGGAGGATTCAAAATGCGAGCAAATCTGTCCAAAATTAACCCATTCGGCAGTCTAGCAAACAATGAATCCTATGACTATCAGATAACCTAGTCAAAGTTCAGAATAGCCACAGCTAAAATAAGCTAAAAAGACCATTTGTAAATGTGTGATATAACCTAGTGTTCTGCGATAGACTTCCCAGTGCTGTTTAATCACAACTATATCATATCCCCAGATGGCCACTGGCAGAACCCCGAAATCTCAATACAGAAACATTATAAATAATACTGATAATAAGCAAAAAAGAAAAAAAAACTTTCAAATTCACATAACTACAAATCATTCGAGAACAACGAACCCACAAAAAAAAGGGGGTCTAACCTGGTGAAGAGGAGGATTGGTCTTAACGGTGCCATCAAGATTGGGGTCAAGTATCCGTATCCTGGTCCGCAACAACAACCAACTCAGAGCAGCACTGGAAGCAAACAGAACAAGTTCCTGAAAGAACTTAGAGGATGAGTTCTTGCAAGAACTTGTTCGTCTCCTGTGAATTGCCTTCATTCTTAAATAAACTCTGCCAATACCACTGTTCCTCTGATGATGGCTTTTTTTTTGGGGTAACAATTATTTACCTAAAAAGAGAAAATAAAAAAATTACGTAGTAATTAAGCATGCCGTTATGGCCTTATTTGATTATTACCGGAAGGAAAAAGGAACTGGGCAGAAGGAAAAATAAAGCGAGATTTCCCAATTCGTCATCACAATTATTAACTTTAAAAAAAAAAAAGAAGAATCTAGTGATTTTTTAGTAATAAATAACAAAGCATGCCCTTATTCGTATACAGGAAGCAAAAGGAACTGGGCGAGAAAAAAGTAAAAACTATAGAGAGAAGCGAGAGTTCGCGATTCATCTTGTTATATCATCAACAAAGATAGAAGGGAAAGTATTGAGAAAAAGCATTGACTTTCCAGGAAAAATGTCTCTCTCTCTAGGAAAACTCTCCCAACTCAGATGACGTCAGCTCTTGCAAACCCAGCCCCCACTGCTGGCCCACCGTCCCCCTCTGATGACAGAACCCCTAAGGAACCTTTCTGCAAGGAGCAGGAAACCAGACCTCCCCAATCCCTACCACCCGAAAACCCACCCATAACCCCCTTGCAACCCAAACCTCAGATGGACCCACCCAAAACCCCATCCAATGAACCGGAACCGACCCCCCCATTGCCACCCCAACCAATGAGCTTTAGGGAGAAAATTCTCCAAGGGAAAAGGTGGATGAAGAAGCCAATGTTCGAGGAAGACCATGAAATTCTGATGGGGGAGGGCGATCTCATTTTCGATCTGAATGGCCCGATTCCCAAAGCCATAATTTCTGAAAAAGTGGAGGAGCAGCTGTCCTTACCATGGGAAAACGTCCTAATTGTCAAACCAATGGGGCTATCTCTGACTCTCAGCCAGATCCGTTCTCGCCTCTATACCCTTTGGTATAACACAGATGGCTTCGCAGTCATGGATATCGAAAGGGACTACGTTATGGTGAAGTTTTGGAATGAGAAGGATGCCAAGAGTATTTTACAGTCCGGCCCATGGATGTTGTCGAATTCATATCTGCATGTCCAGAAGTGGGACAGGTCATTTGATGCCGTTACCAACAAAATCAATAGAATGGTAGTCTGGATAAGATTACCAGGGTTGCCGGTCCACTACTATAACCAATCATTCCTTCGCCGACTGGGTCGCCTGATGGGTAAGGTCATTCATATCGACCACCAAACTGCAGCCAAGTCAAGGGGGAAGTTTGCCCGGATGACCATTGAGATTGATATGGAGAAGCCGGTTTGCACCCAATTCGAGATGAAAGGCAGAATACAACATGTTGAATATGAGAATATGCCGTTCCTGTGCCAAACCTGTTATATGATTGGCCACTCGACTCGTAAATGTGTGAACGCCCAAGAAGAGCAGAGAGCAGATGAGGTGAGAAGGGTCAAAGGAAAAAAAACCAGCGGAGACCGAGGGAGGAGCAACCGCTGGCCCTTCTAAGCAGTCGGATTGGGTGGAGGTCACAAAGAGAGGGAAGCCCTCTAACCAACAGGCAAAGACCACAATAGACTATCCTAGGGAGGGAATAATCAGCGGATCCCGCTTTTCGAGCCTCCAAGATCTAGACCAAAAAGACGCCGAACTGCCGCCGATTCCTAGGAATGTCGAAAAGGAGAAGACAGTAGAGGATGGACCCATACCGTCGTCAAAGATACGCCGGAGGAATGGACGCTCACGTGAACGGTGGACCCACTCAACTGGTCGATTGACAACACCAGTCAGGGAGGAGACAGACGGGTGCCTATCAACCAACCCACCAACACCTACACCTGAAAACCACCAGCCCAAAACAGTGTTAACCCAAACCCAGGGAGCCCAAACATGAAAGTCCACTAGAAAGAACACCCAGAAACTGCTAGCCCCAGAAATTAAAATCCCAACCACCCAGAAGGACAATGAAAACCCAATAACCCCCCCTGAAGCCCTAGTCATCAAAGAGCCCTCCTTAGCCTACAAAATATACCCGGCCCCTACCACACTAGACTCTCTAAAACATCAAGCCATATCCATACAAGTGGAACCCAAACCAAGCCTCTCATCCCATAAACCAACCCAAGACCCAGCCCAATCAGGCACCCTCCAGTTGCCACCGAAAATTGACCAAATCAGTGCAGAGATCCCTCTTGATATTCCACAAGAACCTAACAAACCAGAAGTTCAGGCGCAGGAGACACCATCAACAGGGAGCATTGTGGGCTTAGAAGACATAGTACTACAAGAAGGACAATGTTGCGCAATGGAAGAGGACACCAAAGCTTCTCCGGTGGTCCAACGTTCGCTCTAAGAAGTATCCTTCCTCATTTTTTAATTATCCTATGAATATAAGTCTAAATATAATGTCATGGAATATACAAGGGGCTGGCTCCAAGGAGGTGCATGGTGCGTTTAAGGAACTCAAAAATAGATTCCAACCAGATGTAGTAGCTATACTGGAACCAAGAATAACTGGAGGGAAGGCTGATTATTTTGTCAAGCGAAGCCGCTTTGATCGCTCATTTAGAATTGAGGCAGATTGCTTCTCCGGAGGTATATGGCTGTTATGGAAGGAAGATGTAAGGGTCACAATTTTGAAATGTCACAAGCAATTCATCCATACCCGCATTATGAAAGGGTCGGTTGAATTGTTAGTGACATTTGTATATGCGAACCCGAATCCAACACTAAGGCGACCTCTATGGGATATGTTGTGGAAGCTAGGAGATAGCATTAGTGAGCCCTGGTTAATTGGGGGGAGACATGAATTGCACGTTGCATGAATCTGAGCGGAAAGGAGGCTCAAGAAAACACGGTGGACCGTGTAAATTATTTGTCGATTGGGTGTTACAATGTGGCTTACACGACCTTAACACGGCTGGACCAAAATACACATGGTTGAATTGTCGGGGATTACATAAAAAGCTCAACCGATTTCTGGCAAATGATGAGTGGATTAATCGCTTCCAACACGAATTCGTGGAAAACCTCCCCCGGTGGCAATCTGATCATCACCCGATTCTGGCAAGATGCAAAGGAAACCAAACACCCCCCACCGCAGCTAAACCCTTCAAATTCCTGGCATCTTGGTTAATACATGACCAGTTTGATGAATTTTTTAAGGAAGCCTGGAACCCGAAGCTGGAATTCCCAGATGCGGTAAGACGCTTGGGTCATGGGCTTCAAACCCCTACATGATCTAGCAACAAGACCCATTCCTAGGGATCAATTGGCCAAGCCTGTAGCTGAATTTGTGAATATGGATGGACAATGGGCTTGGCCTCGATTCCAGTCACGGTTGTCGATGTTGGTAGCTCTGGCAATTGTGGCGACAATGCCGCCATTGCCATTAAATGGGGAAGACCGACGATTGTGGCCAGATTCCTCTGATGGGAGTTTCTCAGTTAAATCGGACTACCGAATTTTGGAAGAGATTCCACAACGGCCTGCCACCCTGCTATGGAAGGCCATATGGAATTGGCCGGGCCCTGAAAGAGTTAAAACCTGCTTATGGTTGGCCGCCAAGGGAAAACTGATGACAAACAAGGAGAGGGTCCGCCGCCAATTCACTCAATCGGCGGTAGGTGCTACCAAGCGGAGGAATCAGTGTTACATGCCCTATGCGACTGTGCTCTATCGCGGGATATATGGCATCACTTTCTCCCACCAGAACGGCAGCTAGATTTCTTTGCGGGACAGGACCATCCTTGGCTCTTGTCGAATCTCCTCAGGCCAAAGTGGAATCGGACATTTGGGCTGATTTGTTGGCTCACTTGGAGATGGAGGAACGACCAAGTCTTTAATGGGACAGACCGGCCCTTCCAAGTAAAATGCTTTGAAATTGCAAAGAGATTGAAAGAGATACAAGAAGCGGAGGAAGGGGAAAGAAGGCTGAGAACAATTCGGCCCATGAAAGGGGAGAGATGGATCACATGGGAGCCACCGCCACACGGATGGATCAAACTCAACACCGATGGCGCCTTCGATCCAGCTTCGGGGTTAGCAACAGCAGGAGGGTTATTGAGGGACTCCAGTGGGACATGGAATGGTGGTTTCACGGCCAACATTGGAAGAACATCCATCACGGGGGCGGAATTATGGGGTGTTTTCTACGGCTTGCAGTTAGGTTGGGAACTAGGCCACCGAAGATTATTGTTGGAAGTAGACAGTTTGGCTACCTTCCAGTTGATAACACGGATGAAACTGATCGGATCGGCGCACGATGGGATCATCATGGGAATCAAAGAACTTCTACAAAGAGACTGGAGGGTAAAACTACGGCATGTATACAGAGAATCTAACTTCTCGGCTGATTGCTTGGCAGGTAATGCAGCCGGTGTATGGGGTCATATGATTTTTGTGGATCCCCCTTTCTAAAATCTTGGCTTTTGCATGATATAATGGGAATTTCGTATTCCCGGATTGTAATAGACTAGAATTAGGCTATGCCTTCATCTTTGTACCAAAAAAAAAAAAAGATGGAAGGGAAAGTGTAACTGTAAACAAAGGCCGCCGTTTGCCAAAAGCTGAACAAGTTTGGGCCTTTGACTACCTGTGGAATGCATAGAGATGAATTATAAAAGTTTGGGCTTTGGCAAACCCATTATGATCCAGAAGATAAAATTCCAAACTTTTCAGATACATGAGGGTCCTCAGAAGTATAAACCTACAAAAACAAGCTTACTGTTGGAAACAGAGAACAAAGGTTAGATGGAGCTTGGAGGGTGATCGAAACACTCATTTTTTTTCCACCAGTGGGCAACACGTAGGAAGTCCAGGAATTGGATAGATAACCTACAAAACTCCAAGGGCTATTGGATACAAGACCAATCTAGTCTGCAAACTTTAATGTTAGATCACTTCAAGGCAGTGTTCACTGAGCCTAACATGGAGGTTTCATAAGCTATAGTGCAGGCGGCATGCTCAAGTATTGTCAATCTGATTCCAAACCAAATCACAATGGCACAGAGACCGTCCATGGAGAGAGCTTTTACTACTGAGGAAATTTGGTCTACCATCAAGGGGATGGCCCCGTGGAAGTCACCGGGTCCAGACAGCATACAAGTGGGTTTCTACAAGAAATACTGGAACCAGATTAGCTCCACGGTTTTGGATAGCCTCCTGGTCCTGAGAATCTTAAACCATGGTAAATGGCATGATGAATGGAACCAAACCAAGGTCATCTTCATCCCAAAGAACAAGAATCCACAAGTTTTAGCTGATTACAGGCCGATAAGCTTATATAACGTGAAGTATAAATTCATTGCGAAAGCTTTAGCCAACAGAATCAAGGATTCTATGAGCGGTTTAATTTCTGAAAACCAGAACGATTTTTTCCTGGGCCGGTACATTGGTGAAAACATCTTGCTCGCTCACGAAGCGATAGAACACATCCGACTCAAAAAAGATGGCCAGGTTGGAGCAGTAGCAATCAAATTAGACATGAGCAAAGCCTATGACAGATTAGAATGGCCTTTCTTATTCTCGGTTCTCCAAAAATGAGATTTCCTTGTTCTATCATTCGATTAATCATGAGGTGTTTTACTTCAGTAACTTACTGTATAAGTTTCAACGGGTGGCAGTCATCCTATTTTCAACCTAAGAGAGGCCTTCGTCAAGGATGTCCACTTTTCCCGTACCTATTTGCGCGGAGAATCATACGGTGATCTCTGGAACAACCACTCTTGGAATGAGGAGTTAGTCAGAATCATATTTCCACGGAATCCTGTTAAAAGAATCATGGCAACCTATATTCCCGTGCAAAGGCAAGGAAGACAAGATTATATGTTATGGGAAAAAACTAAAACAGGGGATTATACGGTGAAAAGTGGATACCATGAAGCATACAATATGAGAGTTTCTTCAGATAAAGCTGTTGGCACCTCAGAAAGTACAAACATGAGTGAAAAAGCCTGGAAAATTTTTTGGGATATTAGAGTCCCGGTAAAAATACAGTCCGAAGAGTCTATCACTCCATTTATTTCTTGAATGCCACACTTCCTAAATCATATGGAAGAGCTCCATTCTTGGTTTCAAATTTGAGCAGCCATCAAATTTGAGCTCCATTCTGGCTTCTACAGCACCGGAACGTATTCTCATTCAACTCTCTTTCTTCATATTATGGGGTATTTGGCTAACAAGAAATGACAAGGTTTGGAGCGATAAAGACACACAACCATTATAGACACTTGATTGGGCAGTAAAGGAACATATAGCCTTTACTCATTGTTCCAACAAATGTCTTCCCTGCCCACATGACACGTCTAATGTGAATGGGTTAGAGTCGGAATACTTAATCAGAGTTGATGGAGCCTACAATGAGGAGGCATGAAAGGAGCTGGGGCGTTGGAGATTTTGGATCACACAGGTAAACTCTACTCGAGCTCACCGGACTTCTCTAAGGCAATGGCATGCCTTTCTGGTCTACAATTAGCACATAACCTCAACTTGAGCAAATGCCAACTGCAGACGGACAGTTTGATCATTGCAAGCTGTGTGAAGAACAATGGTGGTTTCCCGTATCAAATCAGCAACATAGGGGAGGATCTTATAAATCTCTTGCACTTAATTCCTAATTGTACAATTAAAAAAAGTAAATAGATCTCTAGTAGAAAACACCATAGAATGGCGAAGGCAACGCTAGACGTTAGCCTATCTCTTGTAACCCTTTCCCTTTAGTTATTACTGAATGAAATTACAGTTTCAAAAAAAAAAAAATAGTTTTGTATTTTTCCCCAAAAGCTTCTTTTGCTTCCTGCAAACGAAGAAGCGGACGCTTTATAAAATCAAAATCCTCACATCAAAGGAAGGAGGAAGAGGGTTATTTGGTAGAAAGAATTTAGTAAAGAATGAAGTTCATTCTCCGGAGACCAAAAATTTCTTACTGGTACTCATCCCAATTTCCACCCATTCCATGAGCTGACTTGATTGATGTTGCGCACGGGGCTCCGGATGCTTGACCCAATTCTTGGTGGCGTGGTTGAGATCAATCCTCCTCTTTGCGAGGTTAGAAACTTATAAAACACATTTCCCTGTTTTTTTTTTCTGTGGAGCTTGGTTGTGACTTCGTGAATCTAAAAAGTTATCATTATTATTAGTATCAATTTATTTGATTTAATTATTGTTTAGTGTATTGAGATTTTTAGGATTTTTTTTCCTGGGCATCTCTAATGAAAAGTGGAGGTTATCATCCATGTACTCATACCCCTGTTTTATGTCATGCGGTTTAGGATTTTTTGTTTTTTTTTTTCCCTATGCAGACGACTTACTAGGGACGGTTTTGTTTAGTTGTGAGCAAGAACTCTTGGAAGT